CCATATGGGACGTTTTTGGGTCAAAATCCGAAAATTTTGGTCCCTCGAATTTTTCTAAAGGGGTACCCCTTTTGGGGGATTTTAGGGATTTTTAAATTTGAAATATCTTTTTTTGGGATTGTCGGATTCGGATGGGGTTTCCTTTATTAAATCAGGTAAAAAATTAGGTATTTTTAGAGCCGAAAAAATTTCGAAAAAATTCGAAATTCGAGGCATAGGGGTCGAATTTCGAAAAACCCAAAATTTTTCGGGTTTTCGAAATTTTTTCGAGATTTTTGCCTGCTGTTCGGATCGAATGTATTTTTCCTAAATTAATCAGATTTTTCTACATATTTTGGGATTTTAGAATTTTCAAAAAAGGTATACTTCGGCCGAGATATGATTTTTTGAAAATTTCAGGGATTTTTTCTGGCTGAAATTTCAGGCCCAAAAAATATTTTTTTCAAAATGGATATAAATATGGCAAATGAGATATCAATCGAAAGCTCTCATCGAGCTGGATATAAAAATATTTTTTTCGAATTTTTTCGGTACATTTTGAAGAAAGTACAGAGGTTCAAAAATTTGTGGGGGGTGAGTACGGTACTCGGAAAATTATGGTAGGGAGAGAGGAAAAATGATTGACGGGTGAAGTTGATGGCAGAGAGGCGAAATTTTTCTCCGTCTCTGACCATTCGGGGCAACACGTAGAAGAGTTTGAAGTTGAATTTTGTATATGGGGGAAAATTTTGTGGAGGGATAAGCTGGATCCTGTTATGGATCTGAAGCAGCGATGCTTCGTGAAGCAGTTTCTGCTTCGAAATTTTGTTTTGGATTGGACTCATTCTTCTAATTGAAAGGATGAGTCCAATCATCCTTCTAATTGAAAGGATGAGTCCAATCATCCTTCTAATTGAAAGGATGAGTCCAATCATCCTTCTAATTGAAAGGATGAGTCCAATCATCCTTCTAATTGAAAGGATGAGTCCAATCATCCTTCTAATTGAAAGGATGAGTCCAATCATCCTTCTAATTGAAAGGATGAGTCCAATCGAGGGGCCGAAGGCCCGGAGTGACTCTAAGTGGAAGGATGAGTCCAATCGAGGGGAAGACGAGGGCCGAAGGCCCGAAGTGACTCTAAGTGGAAGGATGAGTCCAATCGAGAGGAAGACGAGGGCCGAAGGCCCGAAGTGACTCTAAGTGGAAGGAAGAGTCCAATGGAAGCGAATACGAGGGCCGAAGGCCCGAAGTGACTCTAAGTGGAAGGAAGAGTCCAATGTAGGGGAAGACGAGGGCCGAAGGCCCGAAGTGCCTCTAATTGGAAGGATGAGTCCAATATATGGTAAAACGAGAGCCGAAGGCCCGAAGTGACTCTAAGTGGAAGGAAGAGTCCAATCGGGGGGAAGACGAGTGCCGAAGGCCCGAAGTGACTCTAAGAGGAAGGATGAGTCCAATCGAGGGGAAGACGAGGGCCGAAGGCCCGAAGTGACTCTAAAAAAAGGATGAGTCCAATCGAGGGGAAGACGAGGGCCGAAGGCCCGAAGTGACTCTAAGTGGAAGGATGAGTCCAATCGAAGGTAAAACGAGGGCCGAAGGCCCGAAGTGACTCTAAGTGGAAGGAAGAGTCCAATCGAGGGGAAGACAAGTTGGACAAGACAAGTTGGCCCGAGCTTTCATTACATCTAAAAGGCAGAACAATTGTCAAAGGCAAAGCATAGATCCTCCGAGGCCGAAGGCCGAGGAACCGGCGGGCCGGAGGCCCGCCGTTTGGCGAGGGCCGAAGGCCCGATCTTTCATTACATCTAAAAGGCAGAGCAATTGTCAAAGGTAGAGCATAGATCCTCCGATGCCGAAGGACGAGGAACCGGCGGGCCGAAGGCCCGCCGGTTGGCGAGGGCCGAAGGCCCGAGCTTTCATTACATCTAAAATGCAGAGCAATAGTCAAAGGCAGAGCATAGATCCTCCGAGGCCGCAGGCCGAGGAGTAGGCGAGGGCCGAAGGCCCGAGCATTCATTACATCTAAAGGGCAGAGCAAAAGTCAAAGGCAGAGCATAGATCTTCCGAGGCCGAAGGCCGAGGAGTTGGCGGGCCAAAGGCCCGCCGTAGACGAGGGCCGAAGGCCCGAGCATTCATTACATCTAAAAGGCAGAGCAATAGGCGAAGGCCCGAAGTGACTCTAAGTGGAAGGAAGAGTCCAATGTAGGGGAAGACGAGGGCCGAAGGCCCGAAGTGCCTCTAATTGGAAGGATGAGTCCAATATATGGTAAAACGAGAGCCGAAGGCCCGAAGTGACTCTAAGTGGAAGGAAGAGTCCAATCGAGGGGAAGACAAGTTGGACAAGACAAGTTGGCCCGAGCTTTCATTACATCTAAAAGGCAGAACAATTGTCAAAGGCAAAGCATAGATCCTCCGAGGCCGAAGGCCGAGGAACCGGCGGGCCGGAGTCCCGCCGTTTGGCGGGGGCCGAAGGCCCGATCTTTCATTACATCTAAAAGGCAGAGCAATTGTCAAAGGTAGAGCATAGATCCTCCGATGCCGAAGGACGAGGAACCGGCGGGCCGAAGGCCCGCCGGTTGGCGAGGGCCGAAGGCCCGAGCTTTCATTACATCTAAAATGCAGAGCAATAGTCAAAGGCAGAGCATAGATCCTCCGAGGCCGCAGGCCGAGGAGTAGGCGAGGGCCGAAGGCCCGAGCATTCATTACATCTAAAAGGCAGAGCAAAAGTCAAAGGCAGAGCATAGATCTTCCGAGGCCGAAGGCCGAGGAGTTGGCGGGCCAAAGGCCCGCCGTAGGCGAGGGCCGAAGGCCCGAGCATTCATTACATCTAAAAGGCAGAGCAATAGTCAAAGGAAGAGCATTCATCGGCCTTTGGCCCCGGCGGGCCGAAGGCCCGCCGGTTGGCGAGGGCCGAAGGCCCGAGCTTTCATTACATCTAAAAGGCAGAGCAATTGGGAAGGAAGAGTCCAATCGAAGGGAAGACGAGGGCCGAAGGCCCGAAGTGACTCTAATTGAAGGATGAGTCCAATCGAAGGGAAGACGAGGGCCGAAGGCCCGAAGTGACTCTAATTGGAAGGATGAGTCCCAACGGGGAAAGACGGGGCGAGGGCCGAAGGCCCGAAGTGAATCTAATTGAAAGGATGAGTCCAATAGAGGGGAAGACGAGGGCCGAAGGCCCGAAGTGACTCTAAGTGGAAGGATGAGTCCCAACGGGGAAAGACGAGGCGAGGGCCGAAGGCCCGAGCTTCAACCCATCCCGGAAGACAGAACAAATATCGGCGAGGGCCGGAGGCCCGAGCATTCATTACATCTAAAGGGCAGAGCAAAAGTCAAAGGCAGAGCATAGATCTTCCGAGGCCGAAGGCCGAGGAGTTGGCGAGGGCCGAAGGCCCGAGCATTCATTACATCTAAAAGGCAGAGCAAAAGTCAAAGGCAGAGCATAGATCTTCCGAGGCCGAAGGCCGAGGAGTTGGCGGGCCAAAGGCCCGCCGTAGGCGAGGGCCGAAGGCCCGAGCATTCATTACATCTAAAAGGCAGAGCAATAGTCAAAGGAAGAGCATTCATCGGCCTTTGGCCCCGGCGGGCCGAAGGCCCGCCGGTTGGCGAGGGCCGAAGGCCCGAGCTTTCATTACATCTAAAAGGCAGAGCAATTGTCAAAGGTAGAGCATAGATCCTCCGATGCCGAAGGACGAGGAACCGGCGGGCCGAAGGCCCGCCGGTTGGCGAGGGCCGAAGGCCCGAGCTTTCATTACATCTAAAATGCAGAGCAATAGTCAAAGGCAGAGCATAGATCCTCCGAGGCCGCAGGCCGAGGAGTAGGCGAGGGCCGAAGGCCCGAGCATTCATTACATCTAAAAGGCAGAGCAAAAGTCAAAGGCAGAGCATAGATCTTCCGAGGCCGAAGGCCGAGGAGTTGGCGGGCCAAAGGCCCGCCGTAGGCGAGGGCCGAAGGCCCGAGCATTCATTACATCTAAAAGGCAGAGCAATAGTCAAAGGAAGAGCATTCATCGGCCTTTGGCCCCGGCGGGCCGAAGGCCCGCCGGTTGGCGAGGGCCGAAGGCCCGAGCTTTCATTACATCTAAAAGGCAGAGCAATTGGGAAGGAAGAGTCCAATCGAAGGGAAGACGAGGGCCGAAGGCCCGAAGTGACTCTAATTGAAGGATGAGTCCAATCGAAGGGAAGACGAGGGCCGAAGGCCCGAAGTGACTCTAATTGGAAGGATGAGTCCCAACGGGGAAAGACGGGGCGAGGGCCGAAGGCCCGAAGTGAATCTAATTGAAAGGATGAGTCCAATAGAGGGGAAGACGAGGGCCGAAGGCCCGAAGTGACTCTAAGTGGAAGGATGAGTCCCAACGGGGAAAGACGAGGCGAGGGCCGAAGGCCCGAGCTTCAACCCATCCCGGAAGACAGAACAAATATCGGCGAGGGCCGGAGGCCCGAAGCAATGAAAAGGCAGAGCTAAATAAATATATTCCAGGCATCCAAACATTCTAGCAGCGCGCGAAGCGCGCCCCAAAGCCGTTAGGCTTTCCAACGGGCAGAGTCCGAAAAAAATTGCCAGAGTATCCTAATAGGAATTGCATACGTAAGTTACCGCCATCGCATACGTAACCCACAGCTAGTTACTATATACCTATAATTCAGGGAGTGTTTTTTCTAAGAAAAAAAATAACGGCCGGCCGAAGGCCGGCACGGTTTCGGGAGTTTGACATTCGGGGGGTAGTTTGGGACGGGGCATCCAGGAAAATTATCGAGAAGTCAAAATAATTACCCCCTGGTACCTAAATCGCTTAAGTGCCGGGGCTATCTTTTTAATGGTAAGAGATAGCGATCCTAAAATTAAAAAATTTTTTTTTTGTTAAAAATATTTTTAAATTAAAAGAAACCTGAATTTGTGCAAAAGGTTTGTCCCTCTCACAATTCTCAGCCATCTCCAAATTATTTCGGACAGTTAACAAATCTTTTTCATCTGGTATAGAAGGAGGAGGGTCTTTAGAATCCAAATAATCCAACAAAGCGCGAGGCTAAAATTTATTTAAAAAAAACTTCAAAAAAAATCTAACCAAGCAACGATTTAATAAATCTTTGGCAGATTGGTTTTCGGCAATCCATAAAGCTATAAGATACCCACTCAATTGTTTGTTGGCAAGTATACGAAAATCTTTTGTTCCAGAGGTCGTTAAAAGTGCCATCTCCAAATGTTTTAAAAATGCGCCTTCTGTTAATGCTAACATTTGCATTTGTCTACTTATCTTAAAATTAAAATAAGTTTCTCTCAAAATAAACAGAAAATAATATCTTCAAGTTAGAATCCCAAGAAAATATTTCTCACGAAAAAATGTTTCAAAAATAAAATCTGTCTGGCAAAAAAAAGATGGAACCTCAAGTGGAAACTCTAAAAAATAGGAAAATTTAACCTTAATGGAAACCCCACGCTCTTATAAAAACCCAAGTATAGGTAAGTATAAAACGACAAAAAACCTCTCTTGAAGATTCTTCAATAATCGCTCTCATAACCATCCCTGCACCTTTAACAATAGTTAACGAAGGGTGATGAAAAAGTTTATAGAAAATTCTTCCACGTTGTGCAACCATTTCAAGAATTGTATCAAAAACATCACCAGGCGTTGTTTCGCTATAAGGAGCACACACTGTGAATGCAAGGAAATCGAGTAATGAAGCAATTACAAGAGCACCTTTACAAAAATTTTTTTGGAAAATAATAAACCTTAAAAATTCAAAAAAAACCTGTCTTTTTTGTGACATTATTAACAATCAATTGAAGTAAATGTTCCAAAAACAATTTATTGGATAAAAGTGCCTGTTTATTTAATTGTTCAATTCTAAGCTCATAATTTGCATGTCTAGGCTGTAAAAGTGTACAAAGCATTTCAACACAAGCATAATCTACATGTTCTTCTTTTCGTTTTAGAACTGAAACTACAAGAGTTCCAAGACGTTCACGTATTCTAAAAATTTTTTGTTTGAAATTCACAAAGGAAATCAGGCTCTGGACTAGTTTATAATCCAATTGAAATTTCCTACGAGTCCGGCATCATTTAAAAATTAGATTAAAGATTAAAACTCTAACGAACAGTAGGTCTTAACAGTAGGTCTTAAAAGCAAAAAGTCTGTGTTTTGCTGCAAAAAAGTCTGTGTCTTAATTGAACTCGTAAAAGTAGTAACTGGCTGAATCAATTTTTCTGGATTAATCCGGTCTGGGGATTTAGAAACCGGCACCGGAAAAACAAGATCTATCGGGTCAGACTTGAAAAGTAAATTGAACTCATAACCTAGGACAGAGACAAAAATTCCCAACTTTACAAATTGAAAATAAATATTCCCAACAAACCCTTCAACTGTTGTAAAAGCTTGAAATCCTGCTTTTGCTGCAAAAAGTCTGTGAAGACAAGCTAACTGTGCTTCTATTTGTATACTAATTTCGTGTTGATCAATTTTACTAACTTCATATTGTTCTAATATAACAGCTTCCAAACAAGAAATAATTGTTTTGCCCTTGCTATCGGAGAAGAAACCCTAAAATTGATTCTTTGGTTAAGTGGTTTAAAACAGGAAAAAGGTCGCAGGTTCGAACCCGCTTGTGGAATTTATTTTTAATTTTTTATATTTATTGTTAAAATATTAATTCCAGAACTTTTAAACATCAAATTTATTAAAAAATAAAAAAATATACAAACTTCTGAAGGAGCAGAATAACTCAATCCATTATATGGGACATTTGCATTAAATCGACGAATCATATCGATGCGTTTAAGTCCAGCTAAAAATGTTTTTAAAAAAATTTAAATTAATTTAAAAATAAAACCAACGCGGAATTTGTAAAATAAGTTTAAGCAAGTGTTGTTCAGCCTCTTCATCCAAACAAAATCCAAAAGGAACTAATCTCATTGTTTTATATTTTTGTGGAGATATTACATGGATTTGATAATTTCCACAACTTCTAGCTCCATCTATTAATGCCGCTAACAAAGAATCGCTAAAAAAATTTAAAAAAGAATTTTTTGATTTTAGGATAAAATGTCATCTTTTAGAAAAAAATTTTCTAACCGATCATTTGAAGAATATAAACGTTCATCCCCATTTGAATAAATTAAATGAAATTTTTGTGGATCTTTCAAATCACGAATAATGTAAGATAACTGAAAAAAGAAAAAATTTATTACTTTAGAAGATTAGAGAAAAATCTTATGTGACCAAAAAATCATAAACAAAGACAAAAACCACAACTTCTAGCTCCCTACAGTGGGGTGTAAAAGTAATGACTCATAGGTCGTGATCCTATAACCTTTTTAGTCCAATAACCTTTTAGGAAATGGTCCAAATGAGACTTATAATGGATAAAAATATTCCCCAAGGTGTTAGCTTCATATATAAAACTTGGCTAAAATTAATTTTAAGTGTGAACAATTACAAATTATAAAGAGGATTTTGAGGCCCTATAATTTTCTAATTTGGGAGTATGGGCCAAAATAAAAAACTGGCAATAGGAAATCAACACAACTCTACACGATGGTATAATTTTTATTAAAAAATTGTTGGTCACAGTTCGATATAAAATTAAAAAAATTCCCTACTGTATTTAAATTCCTTGCACATATAACAGCATAACTTAAAGGATCTCTTTCAATAATGCACGATTCACTAATACACAAAAGCCTTCGAATTAGTACTAGGCTGTTGATATGACTTTTTTGGACATTAAATTCGACAAATGAGGTTAATTGTTCATCCTTGCTGAAAATTATATAATAAAATTAAATGGCAGTCGTAAAAAATTTAATTGTAAAATTAATTAGTTGGTTAACAATAAGCCGGTATATGTTGAATTCACAACAAGTGGGGAGCTGTGCTGGCCGTAACGGAAAAAATTATACGCAGCTGCAGTCCGCAATTTTAATTTTAAAGCCAAAAACCGTAAATCAAAAAACACCTTGTCGAAAGCACTTGTTTGAAGAACTACTTTCCTGGTAGTCGGTAAATGTTCAGTTTACAACGAGTAGGAGTCAAAGATTCGAACCCATTTAGTTAAAGTAATAAAAAAAATTAAAAAAGACCTGCAAAGACCAAGTCTTGTAAGCTTAAAATCATCCAAATTTAAGGGATCTCTAGCAATTTGCAAATCTATAGCCAAAAATTCAAGGGCAGCATCACGCATTATTTTCAATAATTGCTCGGTTTGATCGCAAAAATAAAGGTGCTAGAAATTAAAAAATTTTTGAATAATATTTTCTTCCTGTAGGAATTGGGATAAAATATCATATAAAAATTATTTAGCGATTAATTTCCCCCAAATTCTCAAAAAATTTCAAAAAATTAAATTTGAACTTTTAGAAATTCCATAGTAAAAGTTTATAGTTAGTTTATGCCAAGGGCGTATCCAGGGGGGGGGGGGGCTGGGGGGGGCTAGAGCCCCCCCCCCCCCCGAAATGGGGGAAAGGGAGAAAAAATTAGGAGATTTTTTTCTCCTTTGTTCACCCAATTCAATTATAAAAGCATCTTGTTGTCTTCCTTTTAATGGAATAATTAATCTAATATCTTTGTAATTATAATTTTTCAACAAAGAATTTGTATTTGCTTCCAATTGATTTATTGAACAAGCAGAGATTTCCAAAATTAAATTTTGAGGTTTTTCAGACCAACCAATTTTTCGACAAGGAAATCTCTTTAAAATTAATAATTCGTTTTTATTTGAATAATTATTATAATTAAAGTCTATTTTTCTTCCAAAAATTTTTCTTGCAAAATCTTCCAAAAAACCCTAAGATTTTTTTAAAATAAAATAAATTTTAGAATTGGAATGAAATGTCTCTTTTAAATTTTATTTTGATTTTAAAAATTATTCTGATTGCGGAGGAAGCAGTCCAAGGTAACGCAAGCCCAAGGTACCGCAAAGCCACTTATAACTTTGTTCTGACTTGTCGAATCCGTGACACCCTAGTATAATTCGATGCAGGCCCGTAGCCAGGATTTTTTTTCGGGGGGGGGGGGGGGGGGGGGATTTTTTGCGCCAAATTTTTGACGCAGAAGGCGCCAAAAATTTTTATTTTCAGCGCCGCAGGCGAAAATTTTTTGAATTTTAGAAGGTCGTAGGCCAAAAAATTCACTCTTTCGGCGCCGCAGGCGCCAAAATTTTGATTTTCTGCGCCGCAGGCAATAATTTTTTGGATTTTGGACCTTAAAAAGCCAGATTTCTTCCTTTTTTAGCGCCGCAGGCGAAAATTTTTTAAATTTCAGAGGTCGTAGGCCAAAAAATTCACTCTTTCGGCGCCGCAGGCGCCAAAATTTTGATTTTCTGCGCCGCAGGCAATAATTTTTTGGATTTTGGACCTTAAAAAGCCAGATTTCTTCCTTTTTTAGCGCCGCAGGCGAAAATTTTTTAAATTTCAGAGGTCGTAGGCCAAAAAATTCACTTTTTTTGCCCAGCCCTTCCCCAAATTTTTTCCTTTTTCCCATTTCGGGGGGGGGGGGGGGGGGGGGGGAATTCCCCCCCTCACCCCTAATTACGGGCCTGGTTCGATGCGCCCGGCGAGCCGTATCGAACCATACCAGTGCGTCCCAGATACGACAATTCTGAACGAAGTTACCTAGGGCTTGTGGTACCTTGGGGTGTACCCAATTGAGGAAATGGGTGTTCTTACAGCAAAAGTTATAGTTTGGGATGAAATGTCAAAAAAAGTAAACGTGGCTTTTTTGTGGGAGTTTTTCACTAAATTTTTTCAAGGTTTATCACTCTTCAATCTGAAGGTTCTGTCCGTAAATCATAAAACAAAAAGAGAGGATAAAATCACGAAAAACCCTGTTATTTTTACACGGCAGAAAATTACCAAGGTTTATAAATAAAAATTTTTAAAACATCCCCCAACAAAAAACATTCCAAATGTAACTAAAAAAATAAATTTTTACCGGTTTTTGGTCTGCCCTATCAGAGGCAAATCGATTTTGAAACCGCAAAGCTTCAGTAACAATTTCACGGGCAAATTCACTTGAAAATCGCATAGAATCTGACTTTCCTCCTTTTTTTCGAACCTTAAAAAAGAAATTTCGAGAATAAAATTGAATAAATATAAAATCAAACTTGGATGTTAAATTGATCTTCATGTCGAGTATTTGCACTAGAATCAGCACTGGAATGTCGTGGACGTTCGTTAACGACGTTGATTGAAAAGAAGTCTTCGTAAAGCCACTAGAAAAAGAGAAAATGAGTTTTTAAAGTTAACAGCAAAAATTAAAAAGTCAAAAATATATGAGAGGCCCAAAACTTTGGAATTGAAAAAAACAACCAAAAATTTTTTTTGGAATTTGAAATCAGGCCCGTAGCCAGGGGGGGGCGCCTTCGGCGCCAAAATTTTTTTTTTTTTGGCGCCTTCGGCGCCAAAAATTTGGCGCAGAAAAAATTTTCCCCCCTTGCCCCCCCCCCCCCCCCCGAAAAAAAATCCTGGCTACAAGCCTGTTTGAAATCTTTAAATAAATTCTGATTTTAATTCTACAACCCCAAAAAACAAAATCCTTGGAGCTGGACTTTGAGTAACAGAAAAACACAGGCCCCACCAAGGCTATCTCAATTTTCAAATGGAAGATACATATTATAAATCAGATATGAGACGGGATATACTCCTCCACGGGAAAGCTCTTGGCCAGATCAAAAAAAAGGGCAAAAACGGTTAAAAATCCTTGCTAGAAAGGGCACATTCTCTATCGAATGAGCCCGGTCTCGACCGTTTTTAGCTCGGACATCTCGCAACCTTCCCTAGTTAGTGTTAATATGAAAAATAAATTTAAAAAATATACTTGATTTGTAATTTCCAAAGATTGTGGATTGTATGTAGTAATTGCCAAATTCCCAACAGAAAATATTCTTTTGTATCTAGAAAAGAAAAATTAAAAATAATTTCCACAAAATCAACAAACTTTCCCTTCCAAGCAGAAATTTTAGTCACTAAAAAACAGTGGAGATCGTGATTGTTTGGATTGAAAATAATTGATTTATTCATTATTATACTTTTGTCTTGCACATTAATTTAATTTATCTAAATTTGAAAAAAATTTCCTAATCGAAATTCCAAGAAAATACAAAAATTTCAGTCTAAACAAAAATAGTGTGAAAAAATGAGAGAGACAGTGAGAAAAAAAAGAAAAACGGAACAATAGCCAACGTATTTTTAAAAATTGCAAAAAAACCTAGAAAAACTAAAAAAATTTTTCTCTGCCTAGAAGCAAAAATCTACGAGAAAAAACAGAAATTTGGTTTCAGACTCTAATGACTTCAGACTCTAGTGGAATTTTACAATTAACATGGATCTTTTAACGCCACAGTACAGTATTCCGTTATAAACTAGTGACACTCATTTGTGAGCTAGAGGAAATATTTTATTTTAATTCCTTAAGTAAAATGAAAATTGATCTTCTATGTAAAATTTATAAATGCATGAAAATGAAAATTTAACAATTTTATATTTGATTAAATACACACCAGGGAACGCGCCGACAGAAAATCAAATTCCTGATTTTCGTGAATCGTGAATATATGAGCCAAAAATCGTCGGGAATTCACGATTTTCGTGAATCGTATCGGGTCGGCGCGATCCCTGATACACAATATTTATTTTTTGTCATTTTTTTATGGTTGAAGTGATTTTCCACGTTGATTATAAATTCTATCTTTCTGTTCCGGAGTGAAATTTAACATTGTCATTATTGCCTAAACGAGTAATTGTAAGTATGTTCTAAATGGAAATTTATTTTAACAATTACGGAAATATCAAACACGATTGAAGGACCATGGGGAATCTCCGGATATTAGGAATCGAAATTTTGATTAAAGTATTGGAGATTGCCCTGGGCGGATTGACCTTGTGAATAATTTTTGTGAGCAAAACCCGGAAACGTCAATCAAGATTGACGGATCCTGGGGAAACTCCGGATATCCAGAACCAAAAATAGTGGAGAATGCCCTAGACGCAGTTCGTCTTGAGAATAATTTTTGGGGAGGAAACTCTCAAGTGTAATGGATAAATAAGCCATAAATTTTCTATTTTTAGCGCAGCAGGCGAAAAATTTAGGGATTTCAGAAATTTCAACAAGCCAGCTTTCTTTCCTTTCCAAAACTAAAAGAGGTAAGGCGATGTTCAGGGAAGAATTTGACAAGGATTTCAGTGAACTTCTTACCATAAGTTCAAATGCGAATCGAAAATTTCCGGATACCCATTCCTTTTCCGGTTCCAAACTTACTTGTAAATGTTCCCTAGCACATCCTTTACTAAGCAAATAGTAGAAGAAAGCATCATGTAAAAATCGTGTCACAACTTGTAATTCTGTTTTTTCATCCATTTCTTCTTCTTCTTCCTCCAATTTTTGAATGTTTTTCGAAGCAGCTTGTTGCCCTTTCCGGAACATGACTAAATACATTTTTTGTCTATCCCTATCCATTTCTACACACTTTTGTTCATACATTCCATTTTCTCTCCTTAATAATCCACATTCAGCAGTAACTTGATTTAATTGTTCAGACAATTCTGAGACTTTTTTTCGCTCATTTTTCAACTTAAAAATTTGGGGGAATTTTTTAAAACTCCTTTAAAAGGGTCTCGGTACTTTTCCGTTAACGACCGCAAACTGTGTACCAGCCGACTTTGAACAGCTATAACTTTTTTATGCTTGATTAGATATAATTGAATTTTATATCATTCGAAAGCCCTCTATAAGCTTTATCTTTTACCCAAGAGTATGGATCAGGTCTGATCACTCATAAAAAAGTTACAAGTCGATAAGTGCACGAAATCGTTGTTTTTCACTATTATCGGGGTATAACTTTTTTATGAGTGATCATACTTGATCCATCCTATTAGAAAAAAGATAGAGCTTATCAATAGCTTTCGAATGATATAAGAATTTATTTGTATTGAATTAAGCTTCATAAATTTATAGCTGTTCAGAATAAGCTGGCACTCAGTTTGCGGTAGTATAACAAAAAAGTACCAAGTTCTCTTCTACCTCTTCCACAACTTTTTGTTGTTCACCAACTTTTTTGTCTCTATCTTCCTTTAATGTTGTAAATTGCCTTCTTAAAGCCTCGCTAACTATAGATCTTTCCCTTTCGTCGATAGCCTCCCTTCTTTTTTTTATTCTTAAACTTCCTTGAGAAATTTCATTTTGTTGGCAGAAATCATTTGTTTCTGCCAATTCAGGCACACTTTTCCATTTTTCATTGTTTCTTTCATTAAATTCAAGAGAATTTCTTCCCCTTTCTTCTGCAAATTTTGCAACAGCTGCGGAATGGATAGCCTGAACCTTAGCCATTGCCAATTCTCCTCTCAGAATAGATACTTGCCCTATTTGGGTAAGCCGATCATTTTCGACTATATTTAGTCGTCTACGGAGATTATTAACCTATGTATAAGTAAGTTTATTAATAAATCAGAATTTTGTATTTTTCTGGAAAGGAAGGAATTTGTATTTCACTGTATTTTTCCGGAAAAAGGAAAAATACAATTTCTTCTTTTCCGGTTCTAAAATTATTTGCCCAGATTTTTCCGGTTGTATTTGTTATTTTTCCGGATTATTTGTATTTTATCTCCGGTTACATTTTGTATTTTGTATTTTTCCAGTGTATTTTGTATTTTATATTTTTCCAGTGTATTTTGTATTTTTTATTTTTCCAGTCTACAATTTGTATTTTCTTTTCCGAATTATTATCTGTATTTTTTCCGGTTTAATATTATGTATTTTTGTCTTTTTCTTTCTTCCGGTTTAAAATTTGTATTTTTCTTCTTCCGGTTTATAATTTGTATTTTCTTTCCGGTTTACAGTTTCTAAATTTGTATTTTCTTCCTTTTTCCGGAGTATATTTTTCCGGATTCTCTCAATTTAATACAATACCTCTCTAAAACACGTTCCAGCAACCTCTTTCCACTTCTTCAATTGTTGAGCACGTAGCAATGGAGGTCCATTATGCCCAATTTGTTCAGCACTACAACTTCTCTTCCATTTTCCTTTATTTATATAATCATTCCCTATTTTCGCCTCCCTTCTAGATTCTGTTCTGTAAATCCAAAGTTCCAATTCCGCTTCCTTTAATTTCCCTCTAATTTCACAATTTGTTCGTTTGAGTGCCAAATTTTGATTTTTTAGTTCATAACAATGTTTTTCATTTTCTGCTAGTGCTTCAAGCCAAGAATTTAATTGGTCAAATAATTCTTCTTTATCTATCCTTTCTCCGTTTTGACTTGCTTTTCTGCACATAAATTTAACTCGTTCTTTTAATTTATCAGCAACTCCATATTGAGTCTATAATAATTATTTGAGTAAAAAATTATTTCAAAAACAATTATTTGGTTTAAAAAACAATTAATTGGTTTAAAAAACAATTAATTGGTTAACTTTCAAATTAATATAAGCCCACCTCTATTAGAAGCCCATCTCTAATATAAGCCCGCCTCTATTAAAAGCCCATCTCTAATAGATGATGAAGCACATCTCCCTACCCGAGGAGACCCATGAGAAATAAAAGCCCAGCCTCAAATACAAGCCCAGCCCTCTAATAGAAGCCCAATCTAATATAGGCCTAGTCAAAAGAGGGATATTGAAAAATAGAATCATAGAGTAGTTACGGTAACTTACTAACCTCATCCTCATCTAATTGTTGTTTATCAAGTCGTTGTCTGCTACGCTCAACTTCTTGTCTTCTAGGGGCAGAATGAGAGCGTAAGATAGATTTGGTTGACCCTCCCAGACGATTGTAGGGAAGAGAAAGATGTCTAGGAATCTAATAAATTTATTAAAAAATTTAATCAGATTTCTAAAATGCCTTTAATTTTGAGAGAGATACACTTTCTTCCTCTGTCTCCTCCTCTTCCCACTCTTCCAACTTTTCACACGATTTAAAACCTTTTTCATCACCAAAAGACCGTCTATTAAAATCAGAATTATAGCCCAAATTTGTAGGTAATGAAGCAATAGAAATTGAATTTGTAGAAGAAAAGGGCTGTTGTTGTTGGCCCTGTAGTTTTCCTAAAGGAATTGAACCTCCAAATTCGACAAGTCCTCCTTTTCGTTGAAAAGCTATTGTTAAAAAGTCTGGGGCGCCGATTCCAGTATTTGGGGTTGTGGTTTGTTGAGTTAATGTTTTGCGGCGTTGTTGATGCTTGAAATTAATTTTTTAAAAAATTTGGAAAAATTCCGTCATATCTCCTGGAAACTGATTCGGACAAAAGATATGTCATTCGAAAGATCTCGCCGAGCGGAGTCGAACGACACCAAAATCTTTCAACACAACTCGACAGCTCTTTCGAATGAGGTATAATTTGCATATTCGAATTTTTTACCCCAAAATTGAGCTTACTTCCCCCTTGTGGTTTTTCAATTTCCTGGGACCTATATTTCGGCCCATAGGTGGGTCCCGTAGCTAATTTTGGTGTCGTAGTTTACAATTTGTATTTTTTTACGTTTTATTTAAGTTTGTAGACTTGAGTTTTATTATAAACTTATTATAAACACGCCTGTTTTTAATTTACAAACTTAAGCTTATTAAGAATATTTAAGTTCAAGTTTACCATTTTACTTAAGTTTATAAACTTGAGTTTTATTAATAATACAAACTTAAGTTTTATTACTTAAAAATATTAAAGTTCAAGTTTTCTTACGAACTTAAGTTTTATTAAAAATTCAAGTCCAAGTTTTTACAACTCAACCAACAACTTCCCATACCTTTTCAACAAGTTCAGCAGCAAAAGCAGCCACTCTCTCATCCACAAGTTCTTCTAATTGCTCATCTCTTAAATCAGCATTATCAACTTGTTGATCTCTTTGATTAGGCCTACAGAAGACATATTTATTTGAAGTTCTTGGACGAACTTCGATTTGGACATCTCTTTTAGGGCAATTTAACTAGGAAATAATTTTTGTTAAAAATTTCAACATTTTCTCCTAAAACTTTGGAAAAAAGCTGTTCAGCATGTTCAATAGCTGAAGTAAGGCGCCTTTCTAAATCAGCCCTTTCCAATGCCCACGTAAGCCTTTCATTTGCTGCACGGCGTCTTTCGTGTTCGAGTTGAGCCTAAAAATAATTTAAAAAATTTTAAAATAATTTAAGATAAATCCACAGATATTTCTCTTCTTTCTCGCTCAACAGCATCCATTCTTTCTGTCCAATAACATTCTTGAGCCTTTTCCCTCTTCAATGCATTTTCCAATGATTTTTCCATTGTATCATCCAAACGTTCTTCTACATCTCTTAAACGGAGCTCGCATTTGCTTTTTTCCTTTAAATTGAAATATTTCAAGTTTACAATTAAAGTTTTGCAATTCAAGTTTGTAAAACACGTTTTTAAGATTTCAAGTTTTATATTAACCCAAGTCGTGTTATTTTTACAATTCAGGTTGTAAAAACGAGTTTTACAATTAAGTTCAAGCTTGTTTTAAACCAAGCTTAATTTAAGTTTTGCACAAAAAGTTCTATAAAACAAGCCTTACAATTCAAGTTTGTAAAACAAGTTTTAATATTCCAAGTTTTGTTATTTTTACAATTTAAGTTTTAAAAAACAAGGTTTGTAATTAAGTTTTTAACTCAAGTTTTCGCTAGTTCATGCTTATTTTACCCTAGTTTTATTAATGTTTTACAATTCGTTTTATAAATTCAACTAACACTTAGCGCTTTTTCAATTTCTGATTCAAGGATGGGCACTCGTTCTGCAATTCTGCCCAATTCTTCTATTCTGGAAAATTAATAAAATATAAAGAGAATCCACCAATTCCAACCTCCTTCTAAACAAATCCCTTTCAAACTGATGACTATCATCTTCTACTTTTGACCTCTTTGCAGCCTCATCTAATTGACTAGCTAATGTATTTGTTAATTCTGTTTTGAGTAAAAGAATTTTTTCGATATCCGCTAATTGTTCTCCCATATGTGCTCGGTCCTCAGCAAATGTGCTTTGCATTACCTTTAGTAATTTTACTCTTAGACTGTTCAAGTTGGAGAAAAATCCCTTCCCTTACCCTTATTCTAATTTGCAATTCATCCATAGTTTTCTCGTTAATCCCCAAATCATCAACAGTTAGAGCTGTTTGAGTTCCCTGAGATTCTCTCACAGTAAATTCAAGTTCCTGTCTAGTTAAACTTTTCATAATTCCTTCAGGAAGGGGCGGTTCATTCGCCAAAACAATTCCATTTTCTAGTCCTAATTGTTCCAAAGCATAACATCGTCTTTCTAAGTAAGCTAGTGCTTGTTCCAAATGGTCTCTTTCTGACTGTTTTTTTGTTAGTTTAAAAGTTTAATTAATATTATTAAAACTTAAGTTTGCGAAAAATAATTCAAGTTTTATTTAAGTTTTAAAAATTTAATTATTGTAAAACAAGTTTTTAAGTTTCAAGTTTTATTAATTCAAGTTTTACAATTTTACAAATTCGGGTTTTCTAAAAACAAGTTTATATTAATTCAAGCTTATATTAATCCAAGTTTTGTTATTTTTACAATTCAAGTTCTATTAAAGTTTTACAATTCAATTATTGTAAAACAAGTTTTATAAAACAAGTTTTATAAAACAAGTTTAGAAAAACAAGTTCTAAAAAACAAGTTTTAGAAAAACAACAATTTTACAAATTCAAGTTTACAAATTCAAGTTTTATTAATTAAAGTTTTTACAATTCACCTGTACTTGTTGTAAACTTAATTTAATAGCCTTGGCATCATTCCCTCTCCTTTCAGCTAATTCAGCCAATTCTTCATATTCTTTAACCATTTTTTCATTATTTATTTCAATATTTTTAAATTTATTTTCTGCTTCCAATTTATTTTTATTTATTTCTGTCATTTCTTCCAACATTTTATTTATTTCTTCTGTTTGTTCGTTTAATTTTTTTCGAAGTTCTACACACCCAGGAATTTGACATTCAACAGGGGAACTTTGTTTTCTATAAACTAGAGTTTGCTGCCTTTCTAATGTTGGATGACGGCTATTATTTTGTTGTTTATTTTTATTTTCTGGATTTTCTTCGGCTAAACTTGTCTCATAAATTAATTTTATTTTTCAAAAAATGTTCCCTTCACACTACCCCTAATGCGAAGGGAACATAAATTTTTTTTTGCGGCTATTACTTTGCTATTTATTTTTATTTCTGGATTTTCTTCGGGTAATTTTGACTATATTAATTTTTTAAAATGTTCCCTTCACACTACCCCTAATGCGAAGGGAACATAAAATTCTGAGGAACTCACCCTCCACAAATTGCTCATTATCCTCTCCTACATTAATAAAAAGAGCACTTCCAATAGCTATTCCTCCCCCACTTTCAGATGCCCTTCTCGCCCCCTCTCGCAAAAGTAAATCTTGCATAATTAGTTCTAAATTGGCACAACGAGTTCTCCAAACAGCGGTTTCTGCGCGATAAGCCTTCAAAACTTATTGTAAAAATTCAGAATTTAAACTGAAAATACTTCTAAAGTTGCCAAAACTTCAGCTCCTATTTGAACAACTGAGGCTTTATTAGGTGCTTGAATAGTTTGAGTTTGTGTTACCGATCTAATAGAATCAGTTGTTGGAGACCTACTTACTTCTATTTTATTTTCTAATAATTTCCCATCATTTTCTTGTTGCCCTACAAATCCATTAATTGATGTAGAATCTTCTGTGATAATTATATTATCTGTTTGAGTTGACTGTTCTTGATGGGAAAGTTGTTCATAAGCCAGAAGAGCTCTAAATTATTTTACTTTTTTACAGTTTACTTCATAATGGTGGAAAAATAAAGTTTATTGGAAATGTTCCTTTCACACTACCTCTTAATGCGAAGGGGGTATGTGATTAGGGTTGAGGTCTTCGAGTCGGGCACGTTTGAGTCATTTTTTCGGGTCTCATTTTTATCGTGTCGGTTCGACCGAGTCTTTTTCGGGCCAAAATTCGAAGCCCGGCTCGATCTTTTGGATCGGGCCCAACCCCCTACTTATGATTTAAGGAGAAAGAAATAAAGCTTATGAGAACTTCATAAAGAAGAAGAGTTACTACAAGCATTATTATTTTCTTCAAAGAACACATACTTATCTTTCCTAGCCAATTCAGCCCTTAAATCAACAATTTCTTGAACTAATTGCCTAACACGATGTTCATGACTTGCTATAAGTCCATCCATTTCAGTAACAAATTCCTGTTCCCTTTCTGACAATCGTTGGCTTAATTGCGCACAATATGCAAGTTGTGCACTCCTTCCAGACGAAACAATTGTTTCAATTTCAGCAAGTCTTTCACGTAACTGGCCTAAATGGCGCTCTTTCTCTTTGCTAGCAAGTTGGGCACGCCTATAATTAATTTGGATTTTTTTATTTTAAAGAAAATGTTCCCTTCGCATTACTTCTAATGCGAAGGGAACATAAAAAATTTATAATTTTTGGCGACCTTAATTCCTTTTTGAGAGCATCACTTTCTTCATGACCACCCTGTGTTTGTTGCTCTTCCTGAGGTTCAGACCGCTCACCAAACCACCAATTCCCTACAATTTGTGAGACAACACTGGGATCAATGCCTTTATCCTCCTCTCCCCTACTAGATGAAGAAGGCTGTTCCTGAGGCGTTGTAGGAGGAGGTGGAAATGTTGTTTCTTTTATTTGTTTCTGTCTAACATTTTTTAAATTTTGAAAAGAAATTTTTTGTCACCTTATTAATGGCGAAACAATAGCTTCTGGTGGCTTTTTTCCTTCCCTTTTTCTTTTTTGTTTAGGCAAAATTTCCTCCTCTTTTTCTTTCACTTCTGGCTCTTCTAATTTTTGAATTTTTGGGATACAAGCTTTCTCAACTTCATTAACACTATCAAAACTTTTGTTTACACCTCCTTCAGTTTCTACTGATCCACCAAAAACTTTAAATTAAAATTATTCAAAGAAATCTCCAAAAAAATCCACCAGCATTCATTTCAGCAAATTCAACCCGTTGAGGTATTTTTTGTATTAATTGGGCCTCTAAAATATTCTCAGGCATTTTTTCTTCCAAACAAGTTTCAGGAATATTTCCATCTTTTTTCTTGTCTTTTATTTGATCTTCTTTATTTTTAGACACCTTACTCCTTTTTTCAATTGGTTTTAAAAGTAAAGGTAAAAGACCGCTGGATGTTGGTTTGGTTTGCTTAAATTATAATTGAAAATCAGAATATCTGTATTTTTAACTAATTAGTAATTGTTCTGAAATCAAGGGAAAAATAAAATCAGAATTTATTTGATAATCAGAATAAATTGAAAATTCTGATAATTAATTCAAAAAATCAGAATTTACTTTGTAAAGTTTAAAAAATCAGAATTTAATTACTTGCCGGAAAATATTATGATAATTATTCTAAAGTCTATTTTAAAGTCTGAAATCAGAATAAATTTGAAAATTCTGACAATTAATTTGAAAAAAAAATTCAGAATTTTTTAAATAAAATACAAAAATCAGAACTTACATGAAATGTGTGTGGTCTTCTTTTTAAAATGCCTTTCTTGGGTGTTTCTTTATTAGAATTTAAACCTTCTGTATTTAAATTACCAGTACTGTGTCTCTGACGTGTTGACATTGTTTTGAAGTTTAATTTAAATTTTATTATGTATTTTTCGCATTATTGTGTTTCCTTAAAAATATAAAATTCTATCATAATGTATTTCTTCCGGTTTTGTATTTTATGTCTATATTAAACTAAAATGGGGAGAAAACACATTTCCGGAAAATACATTATAAAAAATAGTCTGGGTTTAAATTTTATTATGTATTTTTTTGAATTCCGGAAAATAAATTAAATACGGAAATTCCGGAAAATACATTTAAAAAAATACATTTTCCGGAAAATACATTTCCGGAAAATACACTTAATACGCTTATGTGTTTTTCCGGAAAATACAACAGTTAATAACGAAAATACAACAATTAATAACGAAAATACAAATTGGATTTTAATAATTTCCGGAAAATACATTAAATACGCAAAATACATTGAAATAATACTTAAAGAAAGTTTTTGTATTTTCCGGTTATTTTTATTTGTATTTTCAATTTTTATGAAATAAGAGGAAAAATACCCGTGTTTTCAAACCAAAACAGAATTGAGACAAAAAAAACTTTTTAAATGTTTTTAAAAACATAAAACTGAAACAAATGTTTTTATTAAAAAGAACAAACAGCTGATATTTATAATAAAAAATGTGTTTATTTAAAAAAGACTTTTGCATGTTCCTTATTTTTAAAAATAAAGGGGAAATTATTTAATGACAGTTGTTGTTTATTTTTGTCTAAATAATTTTTTAAAGCGGAGAAAAAAATTTTACGTGAAAAAAAAATTTTTTTAATAAAATTTAATGCTAAATTTTTTATTCAAAATTAAATTCTTCCATTTATAAAATGACAGAATTATGTAAAAATTAATTTAATAAAAAATCCCGCCAATCAAAGTTGGATTTTTTTATTCCTCCCTTTTAGGCTTTAATATTCGGTGAATTGTCCATTAGTAATTTTACTAGAGGCTTCGGATTGTTTAATGCTGTTTCTGCAAAAATAATTTTTACTATTTTAAAAAAATTTGGGGATGTTTATTCCCAAGAATATAAATATTTAATTTTCCGGAAAATACAGGCAGTAATTATGTATTTTGTATTTTGGATAATATTTTTTAATGTGTTTTCCTCCGGAATACGTCTATTAATTATTTTCCGGAAAATACATCCTCCGGAATATATGTATTTTAGTTAATATCCTTTAATGTATTTCCTTCCGGAATATGCCTATTAATTATTTTTCCGGAAAATACATTCAGGAATGTATGTATTTTAGTTAATATCCTTTATGTGTTTTCCTCCGGAATATGTCTATTAAGTATTTTTCCGGAAAACACATTCAGGAATTATCGTCCTATATTTAATAATATTTCTTGTATTTTCCGGAAAATAATTAAATTCCGGAATTATTCTTTTGTTATATTTAAATATTCTCAAATTTTCCGGAAAATACATTTCGGAACACATTCAAGTAATAATGTATTTTCCGATAAACATATATCCGGAAATATTTTCTTTTAATATTTTTTCCGGAATATTATATCCGGAATTCTACTGATTATTTTGAATTCCCGGAATTATTAGCTCACCTATTAATTTATTTTGTAAATTTTGCTGTAAATTATTATTTACTTCATTCTTCTTTTCTCCCTCCTTATCAATGTTGGTACCATCTTTTAAATCGCTTACCGGCTTCTCAATGTTGCTATTAATATTCTCTTTATGTTTAATTTTTTCTTCTTCCAAGTGACTACTTTTTGGGTTTTTTAGACTATTAAGTTGAACATTTTGTCCACTATGTTCAGCTATTTTATTTTCTTTCTGTCCCTTTTCTCCTTTGTCCTTTTCTGCTTGATGACTTTCTTCCTTTTTAACCTCAACTTTATTATTAGGGCTATTAATTCTACCCCTTCTTTCAGCCGGATCAACTTTTTTATTGCTCTCTTTGTGTTTTGAATCGTCTATGTGTTTCGAATCGTCCTTGTGTTCTGCATGATGTTCCGGTATTTGCTTCGAATCGGCCTTATGTTTCGAATCGCCTTTGTGTTTCGAATTGTCTTTGTGATCTGGATGATGTTCCGGTTTTGCTTCGTTATGTTTTTGTTGTTCAATATGATCAGGCTTTTTGTTATTATTTGGATGTTGTTTTTTGGAAGCACTTTTTGGAGCCTTGTAGGTAACTAAAAAATATTAATTTAATCAGAATAAAAGAAGAAGAAAAAACACATTCTGATATTAATCTACTCAGAATGTGTTTTCCGGAAAATATTTACTGATTTCAGAATTACTTATAATTTGGATTTTCCGGAAAATAGAATAATTAATTGTATTTTCCGGAAGGATTAATAATTATTTGTATTTTCCGGAAAATAAAATAATTAATTTTATTTTCCGGAAAAATTAATAAAAACACATTTTGTTTTATTTTCCGGAATAGTTAAGTATATTCCTGAATACTAACATAAAAATATTTTGTATTTTCCGGAAAATACTATTTAATTTAATTATTCATTACCTCCTTCAATTACATGTTCAGTTCCTTTACACCTTTTAATTATTTGATCAATTACTTCACTTTTTTCACTTTTTTGTTCAACAGTAAAAATATGTGTAACATGTACATCCTCTCCATCATCCATTTTCATTAGTTTTGTTTGTTCTTTATTTCCTGTTTTTAATTTCCTCATCAAAAATAATTTTCCATGGCCTCCACAAACTTCCTAAAAAATTAAATTTTTATTAAAAAAATTAGTATACGCCTATTATTAGTAAAGAGGATAAAATACATTAAGAATACATTATTTCCGGAAAGCTTAATTAAGTTAATACATATTCCGGAAAACATATATCGTATTTACTCGATTAATTCCCCTGGGGAACTATTTTTTCAACCCATCCGTGGCATGGGGAATTATTCAAGGGAGGGGAATTATTTGAGTTTTGAAATTTGAACATGTAATAGGGTATTCGAGGGCGGGGAATTAATCGAGTAAATACGGTATGTATATTCTTAAAATTAATTTTGGCCGGAAAACAAATTCTGCTTCCGGAAAACGTCTCATTCTCTCTTATTATTACCTTTCGACACAAAAATATTTGATAATAATGATTAGCCGCCATTGCAGAACAATGCTTATTTTTACTTCCCAAGAAGGGCTTAATCACCATCACAACAGATTTTTTATTTGAATTAAACTCTTCATAATCCTTCCAAACAATTTTATTCTTCTTTTCTCCTCGCAAAACAAGGGTAATATGTTTAACTGGTATTTTCATTTTTGCAGCTTTGTCTTTTTCACAATTTTGTTTAATTTGTGCTTGCCCTGCATGATAAACATGTTCTCCTTTGCTCTTTAAAATAAATTAAAATTAATTTGAATAATTAAAAAAATTACTTGTATTTCCGGAAAATACATTATAGAAAATACTCCGAGTGAATATTTAAATAATTATTTTTCCGGAAAATACAACAGTTAAATAAATAGGTAAATAATTCTGATCTTAAACAATTTCCGGAAATATATTAATGAGAAAATACAGAATATTTCGGAAAATACATTAATGAGAAAATACAGAATATTCCGGAAAATACATTAATGAGAAAATACAGAATATTCCGGAAAATACATTAATGAGAAAATACAGAATATTCCGGAAAATACATTAATGAGAAAATACAGAATATTCCGGAAAATACATTAATGAGAAAATACAGAATATTCCGGAAAATACATTAATGAGAAAATACAGAATATTCCGGAAAATACATTAATGAGAAAATACAGAATATTCCGGAAAATACATTAATGAGAAAATACAGAATATTCCGGAAAATACATTAATGAGAAAATACAGAATATTCCGGAAAATACATTAATGAGAAAATACAGAATATTCCGGAAAATACATTAATGAGAAAATACAGAATATTCCGGAAAATACATTAATGAGAAAATACAGAATATTCCGGAAAATACATTAATGAGAAAATACAGAATATTCCGGATTGTATATTTAATAGATTTAATAAAATACCATCCGGAATATTCTCATTAATATATTTTCCGGAATTCATTAAAATTAGAATTAATTTTCATTATTTCCGCTAAACAATACAGTGTCCTAAAATTTATTTAATTATTAAAATAATTCTGCCCATAAAATTTTCAAGAAAATACACAAATATTTTAAACTTACAAAGAAAAGTATTTGAGTTGGACTTAATTCAACATGTTTCACAAGTGTTTCAATATTATTATCTCGTTTTACTGCACATTCCTGGAAGAGTTTGTTTTGTTTGAGTTTAACTCCATTTTCGTCTTTACTGGGATGAACTGAAATGATTATTCTGATTTTTTAGAAATTTAAATTCTGATTTTTTTGTTCTGATTTTTACTCTGACGTTTTATTCTGATTTTAATTCTGGTTTTTGTTCTGATTTTTACTATCCTGATTTTTTGTTCTGATTTCCATTATAAAAATCAGAATTTCTGATTCTTGCAATATTCTGATATTACCTTCTTTCAACTCATATACTTTGCCACATCCGTGATGCTTCAAACATTCAAAACTATAATCCATTTTTGAATAAAAAATATTTTTAATCTCATTATCCTTTCCATATCTCTCAACTAGTACCATTTTTACTTCACAATCTTCTCTCTTGCATACATAACTTAATTTTAATTTTACATGCATTTTTAATTGTTTTTAAATTTATTTAATTCTTATCACTAATTTAAAAAATATTTTTTGGTATTATTAGATAGAGAATTAAATTGTTTATAAAATAAATTTAATTTACAAATTTAAATAAATTGGAAAAAAAGTTATAAACGAAAAAGTAAAAATCCCTCCAAAAACGTAGTTTTGGAGGGGTTTTACTCAAAAATTTGTTATCATTCTTAAAAATTTTTTCTTTTTCCTGAATCATAAAGTAAATTTAATCAGCTATTGAATGGTATATGAAACGATTTTGAAGATTCATCCATTGGCGTGATATAGAGCTCAGGGCTGATATTTATTCCAAGAAGAGAGTTGTGGGTTAGTTCACCCGCAGCTGCGGGTAATCATCGGGTTCTGGATTAATTTTTCTGGAATAAGGGTTAACCCCCAGCTCGGGGTTCTATTACCCGAGTAGGAAGAACCTGGTAAGTTTACCAGGTACCCCTACCCGCTTCTTAAAATACGGCCCCAGAAGACGCGTGGTCAAGCTACATAAGTTCAAGCTACATTATATTAATTAATATTTTTTTATTTTTTCGAAAAATTACTTAAAAATTAATTTTAAACAATTCTCCACATTCTTAACCTCATTTTGAAATATTATAAATATTCAAAATTTACTCACTGTTCAAAATGGTGCGCAGTTTTATGATTAACTAAATGACTCCTTACACATTTTCCTTCAGAATTCTTTTTTAAATTTAATTTAAAATCTTCAGTAATTTTAAATTCTGTAACTCCTTCGTCTTTTAATTTGCACCTTGTTTCAACAATATGTTTTGCATAAATTTTTATATTTGCATCTTTATCCTCGACACATTTGCTAATTAATGATTTGCTCCCAATAAATACATCGTCTGATAACCCCTTAAAGAATATTCTGATTTTTATTTCTAAAAATTCTGATTTTTAAAAATTCTGATTTTTTCTGATTTCTATTTCTGAAAATTCTGATTTTATAAAATAAAAATTCTGATTATTTCTGATTTTTATTTCTGAAAATTCTGATTTTATAAAATAAAAATTCTGATTATTTCTGATTTTTATTTCTGAAAATTCTGATTTTATAAAATATAATTCTGATTTTGAAAGAATTCTGAAAAATAATTTCTGATTTTTATTTCTGAAAATTCTGATTTTTATTTCTGAAAATTCTGATTTTATAAAATATAATTCTGATTTTGAAAGAATTCTGAAAAATAATTTCTGATTTTTATTTCTGAAAATTCTGATTTTTATTTCTGAAAATTCTGATTTTTATTTCTGAAAATTCTGATTTTATAAAATATAATTCTGATTTTGAAAGAATTCTGAGAAATAATTTCTGATTTTTATTTCTGAAAATTCTGATTTTTATTTCTGAAAATTCTGATTTTTATTTCTGAAAATTCTGATTTTTATTTCTGAAAATTCTGATTTTTATTTCTGAAAATTCTGATTTTATAAAATATAATTCTGATTTTGAAAGAATTCTGAAAAATAATTTCTGATTTTTATTTCTGAAAATTCTGATTTTTATTTCTGAAAATTCTGATTTTTATAAAATAAAAATTCTGATTTTTGAAAAAATTCTGAAAAATAATTTCTGATTTTTATTTCCGAAAATTCTGATTTTATAAAATAAAAATTCTGATTTTTTCTTTTAAAAAATTATTCTGATTTATATAGATTCTGATTTAATTAAACTTACAAAAAACAGAGCATTATTAATATTTTTCATTCTAGCATATGAATGTACTGTTTGAAGGACAGATGCTTTCTGGCCAGGTTTTATTCTTTCCTTAATTGCGCATTCAAGAAAAATTTTGTGTAGTTTTGGTTGAGGATTATTTTCTCCAGCATCCTTTACTTTAATTTCTGATTTATCTTTGTTGTCAGAATTTTTTACATTTTCTTTCAGTTTAGGTTTTTCATGGGGAATAAGAGCTTTCTCTTCCTTTCCAAATAAATGCTTATTTTCTAGTGGTATTTTGTTTGGGGGTTGATTATGGTTTTTTGCCTCTAACAATTGTTCATGTTGCGTTTCTACTCGAAAATAACACGGTTGTAATTGCAATAGTAGAAGAAATAATATAATTAAGGTTAGAGACATTATTAATTCTGATTCTTCTAAAATAAGTTTATTTATTCTAATGTGTTTTCCGGAATTTTAATGTGTTTTCCGGAATTTTAATGTGTTTTCCGGAATTTTAATGTGTTTTCCGGAAATAACTTTAATGTGTTTTCCGGAAATACAGGGTGTTTCAACTAAGAAATACTATTTGAAAACTCAATAACTTTTTGCAAAGTTGACAGATTTTAAAGATATTTGGTATTTTATATCTATATTTCATAGCATTTTTTTTGACATAAAAATTATGTCTAAATTCGAACCCTAACCCGAGATAATTTCGTACTCTACCGCTCTGTTTTTCCCTTTTTCCGCACATGCATTCTTACTCCCTTTTGTTTTTTTTGAGCGGCGATAGACATTAGAGTAAACACTAGGCGAAAGACACTACATTTTCAATACAGTATCCACTCTTCGCCATACGCAGGAAAATAAATGAAGTAAGTTAGCATGCAATGCAAAGAGAAAAAAAAGAGAACGGTAGAGTACGAAATTAAAATACAGGGTTAGGGTTCGAATTTCGAAAAAATTTTTATGTCAAAAAAAATGCTAAAATATATAGATATAAAATACTAAATTTCATTGAAATCTGTCAACGCAGAAAAAAGTTATGGATTTTTCAAATAGTATTTTTTAGTTGAAACACCCTGTATAATATCTTCAGCCGTAAAATTAATTCATTTTATTGTATTTTCCGGAATAAAAATACATTATAGATATTTCCGGAAAGTATTTCTGCTTTAATTTAATATACCTAAATGTTATCCGGAATTTTTATTTAATTTAGTGGGGATGTGTTTTCCGGAATATACTTTCCTAATAAATTTATTTTTGTATTTTCCTTCCGGAACAGAATTATATTTTTTGTGTTTTCCGGAATAAAATACATTATAGGTAGATTTAATTTATTAATAAAAATACAATAAACACAACTTAATTAGTTCTGAAAAATTTTCAGGACAAAATAAAATTTAATTTAAAGCCTAGTTTCAGATTCTTGTTTTATTGAGAAGGTAAAAATGCGTATACATATTTAGATATTGAAGGCTTTTTTAAATTTTTTTCTTCTCTCAATTCTTTCCCTCCTTTGCCAAATTTTGATTAAACAGCAGATTTTTATTTCTTCACTCATTTAAAAATATTCCCCTCAATTTACGCAATTAATTTTTAAATTTCCTTTGATGCTCTCCAAGCTATTTTAAAATTTTAAAGCTAAATAAATATTTAAATTGAAACTAAAAATAATAGAAAGGCGATAAAAAAGTAGTTGCGAAATTGGGGATATGCAAAATATTTTTTTGATTGATTAAATAAATTTAAAAATAGAGACTTTCTTAAATATTTTGTTCCTTGGAATAAAATAAATACCGTTTGGCATATCTGAGAGAGGTTTGTAAATTTAAACCACAAATTTTAATTTTTTTTTAAATTTTTATCAATCAAAAATTGTTGCGAAAAAATTATTTTAATTAAAATAATTTTTTTCTTATCAATTTTTGTTGTCTAATATTTTCCCTTTTTTATATTTTATTTCGATCTTTAATTATAAATTTTGTTTATTTAATAAATTAATTTTTTTCAAATCTGTGGACGTTATTTACAAAAATCCCCTTTAAATTGTCCACAAAAGTCCAAAAAATTTGTCCACAAAATTCTTATGAGTGCTGACGAAAATAAATTAATACGTAAAAATGTCAGTTATAATCGCTCATGGATTTTCTCGTCAACTGATTTTGAAAAATGGAAACGACGATTTGATAAGGCGAAGAAGAACTGGCATATGTAGGCAATTTTAATGGGGAGTAAAATTCTGGTATTTAAGGAGAGATTTTTTTCAGAATAATAAATATTTTTGTGTTTTCCGGAATATATTTTTAATTCTAAATATAATATTTCCGGAATTTTAAATGCTTTTCCGGAATGTATTTTTAATTTATTTTCCGGAATTTTAAATAATTGTATGTATTTTCCGGAAGGTTAATTCCCCTCATAAATTTATTTTAAATAAATATTTTTGTGTTTTCCGGAATGTATTTTTAATTTTAAATATAAATTTCCGGAATTTTAAATGCTTTTCCGGAATGCATTTTTAATTTATTTTCCGGAATTTTAAATATAATATATTTCCGGATATTGGATTTAATTCCTGAATTATTTAAACAAGTGTATTTGTATTTTCCGGATGCATATAAATTTATTTCCGGATTTTTTATGTATTATTTCCGGAATTATTTAAATAATTGTACGTATTTTCCGGAAAATTAATTCCCCTTATAAATTTATTTTAAATTAATATTTTTGTATTTTCCGGAATTACAAAGCATTTTTTATGAAAATACGGAAAAACATTTTCCGGAAATTTAATGTATTTTTAAGGAAATACACTCGTGATTCTTTTACTTGGTATAATCACAACTGTATAAGAAAAAAGAAGAAATCCAAATATTCAAAGTCTGAGGACAATTCGTGTAGAGGCAAAATGAAAATTCCGGTAATACCAAAAGCAGACGGACTTGGATTTTATAGAATTGAGCTTACTGAGGATGGTTTTGAACATTTTGCGTCTGAATTTGAGGATGATGACGACGACGACTATAAAAATTTTATTCTTGAATTTTTTAAAGAAGTTAACAGTTATAAAAAAGATTCTAAACAACCTTCTACTGTAAACGCGAGTATGGTAGAATTTTTTTATGTTTGTTGATTGACATGGGGATTTAATGAGGCATGGTACCACTTTATGTATTTCTTTCTTTCAAATATAAATAGGAGACGAACTCCCGGCTATCGGGAATCTTGTCCGATCTTCGTGCCCTCTCTCTATTTATAAACTTGAAATATTTGAGTAATAAAAGTTTTTATTCCTTTTTATCCATCAACGAGTGGTACGAGCGTTCAATCTTCAAGTGACCAAATAATAAATGAATTTGCCGAATTATCCGAAAGAATGAAGAGTGTAAGAATAACTCAACCTCGTCAGAGTGCTACTACTAAAGGTATGTTCAGAGTTAATCAAGTTCCCATGAGAATAGAATTGTGTATAAGAAAGGGGAAGAAACCCTCAATTAGATCCCTAGAGGTATGTACCAGTTTCGCATTTCGCAAATTGCCTTTCGCCAATTTATACCTTTTTTAGCTTTAGTCTTTCGCCGTTCACTTTTTAAATCGACTTTCGCATTTTCGCCTTTCGATTTTTAAAATCTGTTTCGGCAAACCACTGGTCCCTAGGCTGTTCTATTATCATACTTCCATTTTAATACCAAATTAAAAATCACTTTCGTATAGAAACTCATCCACCAGAGATAATAAGTGTTTCTGAAGACAGCGACCGAATTCAATGGGCAAGGGTCAAAAGCAGCAATCCAAATTTAAAAATGGTTATAGCTAGATGCACAGTTGGTTTGGATGTGGATAAAGATTTCTATTATAACTACAGGGCTATGATCAGTTTAAAGTTCCTACAGATTGGTGTTTATCATCACTTCTTTGGAGGACAGAATTCGCCCACCCCGGAAGAACAATTTCAATTTTTGAAGAAAAAACTTGAAAATGCCGGATTTGATAAGAATAATCATTTAATTGGTATTGCTGTGCAAACAGGTATTTCTAAAGGTGAAAAATATTATTATGCTGACTTGTTCTCCATAAGGAATTTTGGGCATTAGAAGGGATATTTGTGGATAAGGAGGGATATCCAAAGATAATAATTAAAAAGTCTGGAGAGATAATGAGTTGGTAACCTACCCATCTTCTTATATATACTATGGTCCCTGGCTATTAAGCAGGGCCAATGTACCCTCAAATACAGATATTCACTTAATCCCACAAAAATTCCTGCCTTACATCTATAGGTCCCTTCATGTCACTCTCAATTCACCAGTGCTGGGAAATTTCAGAACCTATGAAATGAAACCATGAGAAGGAAAGGAGAATGAAAAGGGGGCAAAAAGAGTACCGAGAAAGAGTACCGAGAATTTCCCAGGATCCGCTCGCTTTACTCCCGCTATCCCGCTTCCCTGAAGAGATAGCGGAAGACAATGTTTATATTTTATTTATTTAGAATACAATGCCGATGCCGATCCTGTCCAATTTACTGCAAATCTGTCCATTTTCGTGGATCTTTTGCTCAAAAATGGGTTTATGCTTCCTATAATTTATTGTAATAATAACTCATGGAAGAAATTAATTGACACAACTGAGGTGGATGAACAGTTTAGCAAATTGCCCCTCTGGATTGCCCATTACACCCAAGATCCAAATCCCGAGTATCCAGAGACTTGGAAAGCGAGAGGGAAAAAATGGTGGATGTGGCAATATTCTGACAAGGAAGTAATGGAGGGAATGATCAATCCTGTTTATTGTAGTAGAAGAAATAAATTGCACTTTATTCATGATAAAATGTTTCGTAGTGCTGTTTAATGTTTTTAAATAAAATCAAGATTAAAAACTTTTTGTTTTATAAATCGCTACATTATATTAAGTTTGTTTTCCGGAATAAAAATAAATTTTTAGTTTAATTTGTTTTCATAAAATATCTTTAGAAAATTTTTCTGCCTCTCTTCCATTAATTATTGACAGCAATACCAAGCATAGCCACTAGAACAACAAGTACTACCAGCATAACCGGGAGCGCTGTAACAATTTCCCCAACCACAGCTACATATTGCGCCACATAATCCTCGTCGTTTGCGTGCACCGAAAATTCCAAAATCTAAAATTTTTTGCAAATTTTTTATTAGAAAAACTTTTGTGTAGATTATATTTTCCAAATCTATGTAAATATAATAAATACATGTATTTTCTTAAATGTTTTTGTATTTTCCGGAATTTAGTTAAATTCGTGTATTAATAAAAATGTGTGTTTTCCGGAAAAATAATTAGACAAATAATTAGTATATTACATATTTTTATTTGTGTTTTCCGGAATTATTTAAAGAATGTGTTTTCCGGAATTGTTTAAAAGAATTTTTCCGGAATCATTTAAAGAATGTGTTTTCCGGAATATTATTTGAAGAATGTGTTTTCCGGAATTATTTAAAGAATGTGTTTTCCGGAATATTTATAATAGATGTATTTTTTCTTGATAGAATTATATTATTTTTGTATTTTCCGGAAATGTGTTTTCCGGAATAAACACATTTTATAAGGATATATTTTAACTTAATTTACCGGTTTTGTATTGGCCATTTTTTTGCAAGTTTCCAAAATTTTCTTCCATATGGCTTAAAGATACCACAACTATAACGACCAATAAGACGGCGAAAATTCCGAAGGCTTTCATTTTGGGGAGAAAAAATTTTTTAAATTAATTTGCTTTAGTTTTTGAGTTTTTAAAGTGTTAAAATCAAAGCTTTACACTCTCTTTTTATTAGGATTAGTGTGGACGAAAATCATTGTTTGTTAGAATATTGGGGACAAAAAATGTTAAAAATATTTAGAAAAATATTTTGATGAAAATTTCTTTGTTTTTCGAATGAGAAGGAATAAAAGAAAATATTTTCTGAACTAGAAAATAAAAAAATAAGAACAAAAAAAAAAGTGAAAAATAAACAATATACCTAAGTAATTAATCTTTTACTTATGTACTCTTACGAGAATTTGGGGGAAAATAAATATAAATATTATTATGGGCAAAAATTAAAAATTAGAAGAGTTGAAACAACAATTGTTGCCAAATAATAAATAAAAATAATTTTTTTCCTTATCAATTTTTTTATTGTTTAACATCTACCCTTTCCCTTATTTTATTTTAATTTTTATTTAATTATAAATTTTGTTTATTTAATAAATTAATTTTTTTCAAATCTGTGGACGTTTTATTCACAAAGATCCCCTCTAAATTGTCCACAAAAGTTCAAAAATTTGTCCACAAAATTCTTATGAGTGCTGACGAAAATAAATTAATACGTAAAAATGTCAGTTATAATTGCTCATGGATTTTCTCGTCAACTGATTTTGAAAAATGGAAACGACGATTTGATAAGGCGAAGAAGAACTGGCAGAAGTATGTAAGGGTTTTAATGGGGAGAAAAATTTTGGTATTTAAGGAGAGGTTTTTTTTCAGAATAATAAATATTTTTGTGTTTTCCGGAATGTAGTTTTAATATATGTATTTTCCGGAATTATTTAAATAATTGTACGTATTTTCCGGAAGGTTAATTCCCCTCATAAATTTATTTTAAATTAATATTTTTGTATTTTCCGGAATTTTAAATATAATACATATATTTCCGGATTTGAATTTAATTCCGGAATTATTTAAACAAGTGTATATGTATTTTCCGGATGCATATAAATTTATTTCCGGATTTTTTTTATGTATTTTTGCCTATTTCCGGAATTAATTAATTGAGGGTATGTGTTTTCCGGAATGTTTACTTCCCTCATAAATTATGTATTTTCCTGAATTTTAATGAGTATATGTTAAAATGTGTTTTCCGGAGTAAAAATATTTAATAAATTTTTTCAGAATATTAGGTATAAATGGATAAATAATTTATGAAAATACGGTATAACACTTTCCGGAAATTTTATATGTATTTTTAAGGAAATACACTCGTGATTCTTTTATTTGGTATAATCACAATTGTATAAGAAAAAAGAAGAAATGCAAATATTCAAAGTCTGAGGACAATTCTTGTAGAGGCAAAATGAAAATTCCAGAAAAACCGGAAGGGGACAGATTTGGCTTTTATAGAATTGAGCTTACTGAGGATGGTTTTGAACATTTTGTGTCAGAATTTGAGGAGGAGGATGATGACTATGGAAATTTTATTTTTGAATTTTTTAAAGAATTTAATAATAGTAATTCTGTAAACGAGGTTACGGTAGGAAAAATTTCTAGAGTTGTTGACTTGGGGCATTTTAATATGGCAGGGAATGTTGGCAAATTATAACTACATAGAGATCGGACCGAGACGATCGCTTGAAAGCCTTATTTATTAATATATCCATCTTGCACCCCTATTGATCCTTAAAACCTGTTTCAACATATGACTTCCTGAATAGTTTAATAATAAAAAACTTTTTATCCCTCAACGAGCGGCTCAAGCAGTACTAGTCTTGGTGGTCAATCCCAAAGTGATGAAGAGAAGAAAATGTGGGATGAACTGTCCAAAAGGCTCATGAAGAGTGTGCAAATATCAGCACCTGTTCGAGTTCCTCCTACTAGAAGTAGGTTTAAAAATAGTGTTAAATTGACCTACACGGGAAAGGGAAAGAGGGGAGATACGAGAGATACTCCCCAGCTTAAGAAACCTTTAAAAATTTGGTAGGCCTCTGGACAAGGGATCTATCCAAGCGAGACCTCATTATCTTCAAGCAAGACCTCGTAGCCCAAGTGGGACCTCGTTATCTTATAACGCCGTTATAAGACTTTAGAATGTTATAGCATACATAGAATGTTCAGCAGAGTATTCCCTAATGAAATTTGACTCTATAAACTTGCTAAAATCACATTTATAGCTCATCCACCTGAAAGTATAAGTGTCTCCGAAGATAACGACCGAATTCAATGGGAGAGACTTAGAAGCAATAATCCCAACATAAAAATGGTTATAGCTAGATGCAGCATTGGTTTGAACTTGGATAAAGAATTTTATTATAATTATCGGTCAATGATTAGTGTTAAGTTTCTACAGATTGGTGTTTATCATCACTTCCTTGGAGGGCAGAATTCGCCTACCCCGGATGAACAACTTCAATTTTTGAAAGAAATACTCGGAAATGTTGAATTTAACAAGAAAAATCATTTGATTGGGATTGCTGTGCAGACAGGTATTATGTCCTTCTAATTAAAATTTGTGTTCCCTTCGCACCATACATACTATTCGTAGGGAGCATATTTTTAAAAGATTAATAAGGCAATGGAAAAGTTTTAAAAAAGCTGACTATAACCTTAAAAACAGACCTCAATCATTCCTAATTTACTTTAGAATAGTGGAAAAATAAATGTTCATAGGCATTTTCCTCGAAAATTAACATTCATGTGCCCTTTGGCATTAAGTTTCATGAATTTAAGAGTTCCATCACTTTGGCTTTTTTAATTTTCACCAATATATTTCTATATTATCCATGCTAATTTTAATATTTTTAAGAATACAATGCCGATGCCGATCCACTCACTTTTACAGCAAAACTGTCCATCTTCGTAAATCTTCTGCTCAAAAATGACTTTATGCGTCCTCTCATTTATTGCAACAACAACTCTTGGGAAAAATTAATTGATCCAACTGTGGCGGATGAATTATTCAGCAGATTGCCTCTTTGGATTGCTCGTTACACCGACGACCCTTTTCCCCAGTATCCAGAAACTTGGAAATCGAGAGGGATAAAATGGTGGTTGTGGCAGTACAGTGAACTTGGAGTTGTGGATGGAATAATTAATCACGTTCACTACAACAGACGGAATAAATTTTATTTTATTCAAGACGATATGTTTCGTAGTGCTGTTTAATTCTTTTTAAAATAAATTTAAATTGTTGAGAGAATTTTGTGAAATAATTAAAATAAAAATTTATTGAAGGGAAATTAAAGATGTTCCTTTCGGCCTATAAGTAGGGCGTAAGGAACATAATTTGAAAATCAACAATTTAATAAATTATTTTTTATTCAGTTTCCTTAACATATTCTATTAGTCCTCAATCTGCTGCCAGCTCCTAAACGTATCCCCAAGTTGTATTTTTCTTCTGGTAGAGCTGATAAATCATAACGGCTGATTAACCAACACTAAAAATATGAGTATACTAAACTTGCGTAAACCCCTATAACTTTTGAATGAGGAAACCTTTTCTAAAAATTTGAAAACCTTTCGATAGAGGAGATAATGGGCTACAAAATAAATTTCAAAATTTAATTTAAAGTTAAAATTTGAAAAAGTTATAGAAGGAAAACTTGAAAAATAGGCAATTTTAATAGTTTGTAGTCTCCACTTTTTTTATTTATAAACTTAAAATTAAATTTTATAGCTCATATTATAGCCCATTTTCTTAGCTATCGAATGATAACCAAATCTTCTCAAATGCTTTATCCATTCAAAAGCTATAATGTTCTAAATTTAGTGGGTCACGCCCTCCAGAATATTATTTTAATTAAATTTTAGGGCATAAATTCAATTATTTACTAATTAAATTTTATCACCTCTTGCTCAATTTTTTCTTCGAAATTTCCAATACATTTATGTTTAATTAATAAATAAGGTTCTAAATCAGCTATTCCAAAAAATTCAGAAGACGTTTTTGCATTTAATTTAAAAGTTCCATCGTTTAAGCTCGTTGTTTCGCCTAGAAAATCATCTCCATCTAAAGTTAAACCAAACGGGAGTTTAATTCGAGCTGGAAAGATTTTTAGAAATTAAGAAAAAAATTTAAGATGTTCCCTACACACTACAAGTAATGCGAATGGAACATCTCATGAAGGAACATGAAATTATTTTTGAAGAACTCCCCTCTCCACGAGGCTTCCTGCTCAATGTATTTGCCATATATTTTTTTATTCTTTTACAACCCCACAAATATTAAAATTACCATCTTCATCCCAAAGCTGTATTTGAACATTAGATATAGGCGTAATTCTGACTTGTGAGAGAATTATTGAAGTATTCGAAGGAATAAAAGTCATGCATTCTAATTTACCACTAATTTTGTAATTTAATTGAGGAAACAATTTAAATGGGTAAATATAAGAGGATAAACTAATTAATAAAAATAATACTAAAAATATTTTAATTTTATTCATTTTTTATTTAATAAACAAAAAATCGTGTTTTTGCAATTTCTGTTATTTAAATAGCAACCACAAAAAATGACTAATTTTTAAAAAAAATATTCCAAGATGTTATTTTATATTGAGGAAGTAAAAAATGCAAACAGAATTTACTAAAAATAAAATAACACTCATTGTACCATTCCCTTATGCACTACTTATAGAGTGAAGGGAACACAAAATTAACTGAAAAGAAATTAATTGAAAACTAAAGAATAAAACTTCTTTTACAAGTTGTTTTACAATTGCAGCCTGTTTACAATTGTACATAAATGTTTTCAAACTTTTTACAAACATATTTATTAAACTTGTTTTAAACATTACAACAAATAATGTTTTTGCAAACTTAATGGTTTGAACAAAGTTTAATTATAAATTAATGTTTTTACAACTTGTTTTACAATTGCAGCTTACAATGTTTGTTTGAGTCACCTGTTTTTATACTTTTTGCGAACATTTACAAAACTTGTTTTAAACAATGAAACTTTCTAACTTTTAATAAACTTGTTTTACACACAACAACTTTAATGTTTAGATCCAAGTTTAATTAATAAATTAATGTTTTTACAACTTGTTTTACAATTGCAGCCTGTTTACAATTTTAAATGTTTTTACAAACTTTTTTACAAGCATATTTATTCAACTTGTTTTGAACTTGTTTCAACAACTTTACAAACTTAATGTTTTGAACAAAGATTGACTAATATAGGTAATGTATGTTTTTACAATTTGTTTACAAACAAATACAAACCCACATACAGAAATTACAATTTTTAACAAAACATTTACAATTATACATATCTTTTATTTATTTTTTATTTATATTTCTCTTCTCAAACATCCACTCATATTTAGAACGCTCTATGGCCATGCGAATGTTCAACAGCCCGGTCAACAAACGAACATTGGCGGTCACAGAGAAGACGATAACGACGACAATAGCTTGCAGCCATATCACATATTAAACTACTAAAAATAAAATTTTTTTAAATTTTTCACAAAAAAAAATTTTTATTTCTGACCGTCCAAGTTCATCCACCCAAAACAACCAATCAGCAAGTCGCCAAACAAAACCGCCAGTAGTGCTCAGAATGAAATGAAGCGGAGGCCAAATCCAACCAGCAACGCTTGCCAAAATAGAGGCAAATATTGAATGAAGAACTCCAAGGCACAAATAGGCGAATATGATAGCCAAAGGATAGAACAACAACTTGACAAAATTTAAAAAATTATTTTTATTCCAAAAAATTGAGTTTACTTTATGGTCCAAAACATAGTTGCCAGCCTCAAACATCAGCCTAACAATTTTGACGAGAATATTCCAAAGTTGAACACAACAATCAAAGCCCTCTTCATTACCAGCTGCTTCTGTTGACATACTGAAAATAATAAAACTTTGTTTTTAAATAAGTTTTGCCCCTTCCCCTGTTAAATTGTAAAAACAAGTTGCAACTTGTTTTACAAACCTTTTTTGTTTTTAAGTTTATTTTTACAACATTTTACAATTGCAAAGAGCAACATGTTTATAAGTTTAAAACTTGTTTGTAAAGTGAAGTGTTTTCAAGTTTACAAACTTTTTACAACTTTTTACAATTTGTAAAACTTGTTTTTACAATTCCCAACTTGTTTTTACAATTTGTAAAACTTGTTTCTACAATTCCCAGCTTGTTTTTAATATTTGTAAAAACTAAAAACCACACCTTGAGATTGACGAATACGCGTAGCTCTTTCCTTCCTCCTCCTCCTCTTCTTCATCGTCGTCTTCCTCTTCATCATCCGCATCGCTACTGTCCACAGATTCCTTTGAAGCCTTCTTCTGCCCCTCATTTCTTTTTAGAAGGGCCACTCGCAGTTGACGCCTAATTTTGTTGAATTTGTTGTCCAATATTGGCGATGCAGAACGATGATGATGTTTTTGTTGCTCTACTCCTTCAAAGAGTTCTTCTCGTTCACCCACAGGCGGAGAAGGTGCTGGAAGGATTGCAACAGTCGCAGCAGAAGACACGAGCATTGTAGGTTGTCTCTTTTGTTTTGCTTTTTTAGGTTGGCGGTTTGTTGTTGTTGTTGCTTTTGGCTTGTGTTTGGATGGAGATGCTGCTCTAATTGTTGATGCGGACGATAATTGAGACGAGGAAATGGAAGAATCCGACAATTGATCCGTGCATTTAGGCAACATTCCTGTTTCGGAGTCAATATAAGGATCGCTGAAATAAATTGAAGTTTGTCAAGTCTAAAGAAAGGAAACAAACATTTCCTTGTGGAGCTCACTTTTGGATTTACAAACACCTCCATCGAACATTTCGTCAGGCTGAGCAACGTTTGGAATGTCGTTAATACGAGCTTTAGGAGTTCTAAAAATTGAAGAAACATTTCTTTAAAAAATTAATTGGAAAAGCTCACTTTTTGTATTTAGTCCTTCGGATGGACTGTTTTCGATGAAGGCGTGGACGAGGACCAGAGTCGACCGATGGCTGCTGACTGGCGGCTCCTTTACGGCTTTGTCTCATTTTTGTTGGAGAAGAGTGTTGTAATTAATCTTGAAGTTGTTAGGCGGAAGAAAATAAAATAAACTTGGATTTGAACATGCTTTTATAGTATGTTTTTAAAAATAACTTGTTTTCTCAAACTTTTTAAATTTTTGGTAAACTTGTTTTACAATTTGTATTTAAATTACAAATAAATAAACTTGTTTTACAATTGTTCATTAACATTTTTAAATAAAACATTTCTTCCAAACATGTTCAAATCCAGGTTTATTGTATTTTCTTAAATAAACTTGTTTTAAAATTTGTTTATTAACCTTGTTTTTAAATTAAACATTTCTTTCAAACTTCAAAACAATTTTAAAACTTCCTTGTGTTTTCGCCTACTCGACTAAAACATAATATTTTCTTATAAGCGTAATAAAAATAGGCCAAAAACTTTAGTCGACAAATTTTCTGAATTACCATTTACATAGATCATAAATTTACGTTTAGATCATAAAAAAATTAAGCAAACATTTATACATATATTTATTTGCAGCTACATGGTTCTTTCAATTCTACATATTTTTTTTTTAAATTTTTGTTGGAAAAAGACAAAAAATTCAGCTCTTTTCTTATTTTATTTATGAATAAGTTAAATAAATTTTAATATAATTAACAAATTTCCAATAATTTTTAAAATATATTGTCTGTGTAAACTAACTCACTAGCTCTCTTTTTTATCCACACAAAATTAATTTTAAATCCATTAAAAAACTTTTAAATTTTAAATTAATCAATTTGGTAAACTTTAATATTTTATTAATTTATTTTATTTGTTTTTACATAAAAACTCAATTGAAGTTTGTAGCAAAATTACAATTATTTTTTACAAACATTTGTTGTAATTTTATAAAATGTTTTTACATGTTTACCAACTTGTTTTTACAAAACATTTCTAAGCAAACTTGTTTTTTGCAAATTTAACAAACTTGTTTTTTACAAACTTGTTAAACAAACTTGTTTTACAAACTTGTTTTACAAACTTATTTAAACATGTTTACCTTTTACTTTTTCAAGTTTTATTTAGCTTAGTTAATATGCAAGTTATAAACAATGTTTATTTACTTGCAAAACATTTTTGCAAACATGTTTTTAACACAAAGTTTGTGTTAATAATACTGTTGTAAAACAAAGTTTATTTAATAGGATTAGATGTTTCCCAACTTTTTACAATTGTAAATGTTTTTAGAGACAATCTTGGTTCGATTTTGATTTTTATAAATTATGTAAATATTTGCAAAAACATACTAATATAAAGAGAGAGAGAGAATTTTTTACACAATGACTCATAACCTAACTTTAAAAATTCCAATCAACTAACTAAAATATGTAAATAAATGCGTCATAAAAACTATTCTTTTATTTTTGGCTCATAAAATGACCTCACAAAATCATATTTTATATTTTTAATCCCCTTACCGCTATATTTATTTAAACAAGTTTTTATGGCAATTATTATTTTATAGCCCTCCCTCATTTTCTATTTCTCTAAAACAATCTCCTCTCATTTTGTATTACAATTATTTTTTGACAGATTATTTTTTATTAATTTTTTTAAAAATTATTTATCCATTTTTCTATTAATTATTTTTATTTTTAATTTAATCCATATTTATTTTAAAAAATGGACGAATGAGGAAAGGATTATGTTTCTATTTTTATTTTTATAATTAGAGAAGGAAATTTAATTTTATTGAGATAATCTTTATATTTTAATTTATTTAAAATAAAATAAATATTTTTTAGAATTTTTCTTTCATTTTAAAATTTGTGTAGGGTCAAAGAGTCAAAGAGTACAAACCTAAAAATATTAAATTTTTAAAATTTTGTTCGACAAGATAAATTGCCTCAAATCCAATAGGCGATCTTCAGTCTTTTCAAAACATTTTATTTTAAATTTACTTCCGTTCCTTTATGGAACAAGTTTTTATTTTTCAACATGTTTTCCCAACAAATAAAACCTAATTTAAAAATTAGAACATAATTGTAAACTTTAATTTGTAGCAAACTTGAATTGTAAAACTTAATTGTAACTAAGTTTAAAACTTTATTTGCAGAACCGAATTTGTAAAACTTGATTTGGTAAACTTAATTTGTACAACCTTATTGTAAGACGTGGTTAATAAAACTTGAATTTGTAAAAACAAGTTTTATAAAATTACTAGATTGTAAAACTTGTTTTTACAAATTCAAGTTTTATTAAAAATGTTTTACAATAAGGTTGAACAAATTAAGTTTTACAAACAAGTTTTTCTTGTAAAATTGTAAAACTTAAAATTTAAATTAAAACTTGACAAACATATTTATTTTTTAACTTGCCTCTTTATGTTAAAAACATTCTAGTCTAAACAACTTCAAGTACGGAAAAAATATTTTTGTTTGTATAATTTTTTAAAAATATTTTTATAATTTTAAAAAGTACACTTTTTAACATAAAAAAATAAAATAAATAATACAAATAAAAAAATTATAAAATAAAAAACTTAAAGCCAATTAACTTTAGTTCCACCAATACATATTTTTTCGGTACAATTTAAGAAAATTTTTTTCTTCATTTTTGGCCTTTCAATTCATTATTTTTTGTATTTTTTTCTTTTTCTATTTGTTCTAATTTGAAAAAGAAGGAAAGAAATACTAAACTTTGTTTTATAATCATTATCCTCTTTTTGACCGAAAACGAACTTGAGAAGCGCAAACATTTGTATTTTTCTTCTTTAAAAAATTTTTTTGTGTAAGGAAAAAATGTCTTTAAAAATTCTAATAAATATATTTAAATGTTTGATTAATTTATTTAAATGAAATTAAAAAGTAATCAGCTTAAACTGTCGGGCAAACAATTTCAACAATTATTTGTTCACGCCTACATTTTAATTAAGTTAAGTTTTTTAGTTTATTTTAAGTTTCACAATCAGTACAGTTTTTTTACAAATAAGTTTTAGAATAAGTTTTAAAACAAGTTTTTACAAACTTGTTAGTTGTATGTTTTTACAATTACAATTAAGGTTTTTACAATTACCAAATTCAGTCGTTATGTTTTACAATTCAGGTTTTTGTATTTTACAAACTTGATGTTTTTAAGTTTTTACAAACTTAATGTTTAAATGCTTCTACAACCCAAGTTTTTATGTTTTACAATCCAAGTTTTTGTATTTTTACAAACTTGATATTTTCAAGTTTTTACAATTCAAGTTTAATAATCCACATTACCTAATTCAAGTTTCTAAAATAATTGATGTTTTTGCTTATATTCATTTTTAATCTTATTTGTAAAAACATTTGTTTTTACCACGCGAACATTTTTTCTCTGCAAACATTAATTACCCTATTAAACTTTAGTACTAGATAGAAATGCCCAATTCAATGAAAGACCCACTTAATGAAAAACAGAGTGAGACAGGCACAAACGACCGACCAGATTCTATAAGGACAACTACTACAATGATGCCTGAGACAAATTGGAACAGTATTTACACAGCAAGTATGCTTTCCTTTATTGGAACAGTCCAATTCTCACTTTATTTCTCTTCAATGTGGCCATACGTACAAATTGTAAAAAATTTTTATTTCTCCCCATTTTCCCCTGAAAATTCCCCATCTTTGATAGATTGACCGCTCAATAAACGAAACAATGTTTGGATGGATTATAGCAATATACAGCGTTGGACAAATAATTTCTGCCCCATTATTCGGCTATTGGAGTAACAAAATTCAACAAGTCCGTCTTCCCCTTTTTGTTGGACTAGCACTTATGTTTATGGGAAATCTTTGTTATCTGAGCTTAGAATTAACAACAATACCCAAATTATATATTCTTTTATTTGGAAGGTTTATGACGGGGATGGGCTCTGGTATTTATTTTTTAAATAATTTTATTAGAAAAATCCAATTTTAGGGAATGTTTGTTTATTGAGAACATATGCCTCAACAGCCTCCACTAGCAAGGATCGTTTAAGAGCTATAGCTTTTGTCACTTGCGGGCAGGCGCTAGGTGCAACCAGTGGTCCCGGTATGTGTTTACAAAGCTGTATTTATTGATAAATTAAGTTTAGACTAGTTAAGTTTTACAATCTTTATAGGTTGTAAAATCAAAGTTTTACAATCCCTATAATTCAAGTTTTTACGCCAAGTTTTATTTTACAATTCGAGTTTTAATTTTTCAAGTTTTACAAATCAAGTTTTTTATTTTTTTAAGTTTTACAATTCAAGTTTTATTTTTTAAGTTTTACAATTCAAGTTTTAATTTTTCAAGTTTTACAATTAAGTTTCGTAATTCAAGTTTAATTTTCTAAGTTTTACAATTAAGTTTTAATTTTTCAAGTTTTAGAAATAAGTTTTTAATAAAATAAATTTAAAAAACATTTAAAGTTTTTCAATTCTTTGCAGCATTCCAACTTTTATTCACTTCATTTACATATCCGGGCACTACACTCCTCGGACATTTACGATTTAATTTGTTTACTGGACCTGCATTTTTGGCTTGTACAATGAATTTATTTGGTACAATTATTTTGCTATTTATTTTCAAAGAAGTATATGCGGGTCTGCACCATGAAGAATATAATAAAATTGTTCGGGTTGAAAATGGGGAAAGCAACAGATCAGAAACAGCTACAACAAAGGCAAGTTTTACGAAAATTGTAAAACTTGTAAAAAAGAAGAGTTTTACAAATTGTAAAAAAAGTTTTACAATTCTTTCAAGTTTTTAATTTTTAAAGTTTTACAACTTTACTTTTAATTTTAAGGTTTTACAATTCCTTTAAGTTTATTTTTCTTTCAAGTTTTACAATCTACAAATTGTAAAAAAGATTGTAAAAATTAAAAAAAGTTTCACAATTCCTTTAAGTTTGTAAAAAAAGTTTTTCTTTTAGATTTAAGGTTTTACAATTCTTATTTTGGAGTTTTACAAATTGTAAAAAAAGTTTTACAATTCTTTTAATGTTTTACAATTTAAGTTTTACACCACCCAATTATATTCAAAAATTAATTAAAAACACAAAAACATTTTAAGGGCTCAGTAAATTCTCTAACATCTTCATTGCCTTCAAAATTACCCCCCTACGATTTAATTGCTTGTTTTGTTTGTTATCTAAGTCGATTTACCCAAATGTTTGTCCAAACAAATTTGGAAACAATAGGAAGTCCTTTTTCTATGACAATGTTTGGAATGACTGAACAAAAATCCGTGGAAGTTATTTCTATTGCCCAAGCATTGGTTGGGTCTATAACTTTTGCTACTTATATTTTTTATATTTATTTTAAATCTTCGAATATGGAGTGAGTTTTTCTTTGGAAATTAAAAAAAAAATAATTTTTTTAAAGATTAAATTTCCGACTAAGTTGTATTTTGTCTATATTAGGCCTTGGAGCTTTTCATATAGTTACTTTTCCGTGGCCTTTCCTTAGCAATCCGCTACAAGTTTATACAGAGAAAGGTGAATAGTAATTTTTAGAAAAATTAATTTTTAAAATTATTTTGTAGAAAGACTTGCTTATAAAGTCGAACATTTACCTGCTGATTTAGAACCTGTTGGGTGTAATACAGATAAATTTGAGTGGGTTTCTAATATTATTGTAAATTAAGAATGATTCAGGAAATTTTAATTCTGAAAAATAATTAATTTTCCGGAAAATATAAAATTCCGGAAAAATTTCTGAAAAAAAAATTCCGGAAAACACATTAAAAATATAATTATGAAAATTCCGGAAAGGAAAATAATTTATTAATAATTCCGGAAAGAATTCCAAATATAATAGTTTTGAAAAATGATTAAGAATGTTGCCGGAAAATACAAATTTTGTATTTTCGTTGTTTTTAATGACTAAAAATACAATGAATTTCCGGAAAAACACACAATTAATAAAATAAATTTTCCGGAAAATTTGACTTTGAATAATTGAAGGGTGGGTGATATTTATTAAATTTTAAGAGAATGGGGAAAACTGACCATAAAAAATTTAATTCTTATTTCAAATAATTAGTTGGTGTTACAACATCGGGCAAGTAAATGTTTGGATATATTTTATTTCTTATGTTGTATTTATTGGATTTGCATTTCCAATACTTAATATAGCCATGAACACTTTATTTTCTCATATAATTGGACCTAGACGACAGGGAACACAACAAGGATTTTTTCAAATATCTGGAAGTATTGCTAGAATGATTGGACCTATTGGGATGAGGTAATTAAAAGAAATCAAATAATAAAAGTAATTAAATTGGCAATAATTAATAAAAAAATATTTTTAAAATTTTTCCAATCAATGATGGGATGCTCCAGTAAACAGAAGGATAATTATCCGGAAAACACAAAAATAAAACAAATTTCCGGAAATTTTTAATTCTGAAAAATAATTTCCGGAAAATAAAATCCGGAAAATATAAATGTATATTTTTCCGGAAAATACTATTTTTCTTCCGGAAAATGTATTTTCCGTTTCCGGAAAATACAAATGTCAATAATAATAGAACTTTCCGGAAAAATAAAAATTCTGAATGTTTTCCGGAATTATGAAGAAAACACATGATTCTTAAGTTAATTCCGGAGGGATACTAATTTTTCCGGAAAAACACAAAAATAATACACTTTTCCGGAAATTTTTAATTCTGAATTTATAATCTTTTCCGGAAAATACAAATAAAATTGTATTTTCATTATTCCCATAAAAATTCTGATTTTTTAATTTTCAGCACATTATACACAATGTACGGCCCTAGAATGGCTTGGACAATGGAATTATTAATTATTGGAACAACTACTCTTCTTTGGATAATTTTCTACAAAAGAATGGTTCCATTATTGTCTTCTCCATATACTTCAAATAGCACTAAAAGGAAATTTACTGTTCAAAATATTTTTTGGATTTCGTCCATTAAGGGTTGAAGAGTCGAAAATATTTTTTAGAAAATTTTTTTCAGTTTTTTATTTTTTTTCTAGTCTTTTTTATTTTTGTATACATCTATTCTCCCTATCTAACCCTACTTTTGCTCATAAAATTAAGCAAAAATTGAAACCATTTTTTTCTCAAAATGCTGTCAGGTTGGAAAAACTAAATAAACAAAGGTGCGTAGTTTTTCTTCTCTCCCGGGTCGAATTTGAATATTTTAATTGTTATATTTTTTTTAAAAATCAAAAAAATTTTTAAATTTATTTCTCATTTTTTCTTCACATGCTCTCCATTCTCTCTCTCTCTCTGATAAAATTATTTTTTTGCTTTTATTAAAATTAAACCCCGTGATTTTTATTTTTTGTTTAACTTTCACTTTTACAAATTGCAATAATAATTCTTTATTTTTATATTTTATTTTTTTAAATAAAAATAAATTTGATATAATAAAAAGTGTGTTGACTTTTCGTTTGCTAACAAAAAAAGGAATTAAAAAATAACAAAATAAAAATCAGAATAAGGGAAAAATACACGTATTTTATTTATTTAAAAATTAATTCCGGAAAAGATTTATCTGCTATGAAAAACTTGACTTCGAGCCCAGATTCAAAATCGATCTCGGGTCTACTAAGAATTTTAGGTTACAACTATGGAATTGTCTCTTGCGCCCACCCCAGGCTTAAAATATTTAATTTTTTATCAAAATATTCTTAAAAAAATTTTCCCAACTAAATTTTTTTATTACAATGTAAGTCGGGAATTTTTTAAGGGGAAAACAATTTTGCATGCTTCAAAATAATTGTCTGCATATAGATCTACAAAACCTTCCTTCTCACTTGCATCCAGTTCTTTCCACATAGGCTTCATAGAACTTGGCATAATTATATATTTCAGATTAACCCTTTTGACTGCCGATGAATTACACCAACAGTATACAATTGCCCTTTCAGGTCAACTCAACTTCACCCAAGAACTAAAAATTTGTCATAAAATAATTTTAAAAATATACCATTCAGTGGAGGAGTTTCAAGATAACGCGACAGCATGCATGCAACTAATCCTGCACCTCCACTACCACCATCTTTTCAAAAGATCGGCAGTGGGGGTGCTTTTTCGGCAGTGGGGGGTGCTTTTTCTGCTTTCTATCTCTAATATACAAATAGTAGGTAATAGCGTTCAAAGGAGCCAATTCCAGGAACCTGCTTAACATGCAGGTTACAAGGCCGGCGCCACCGCTGCCTCCATCTTTCGAGAACGATCCCTGAAACATTGCGAATTTCAAAAATTTTATTAATTTGAAAAAATGAAGAAAAATTTGCTTACAGGTATTATATGAACAAAAAAGTGCAAATTTGATGCATCTCCAAGATTGAATTGTTTGACAAACGTTGTTAAATAATTACGCGCAACAATGGCTGATTCTTTGATTAAAAGTTTGAGATTGCCAGTCGCTGTGAGTAAACCATCCAAATGTATTACTTCCGCTTCTCCATAACCTACGAATCCAACTTAAAATAATAATAATTATTTTCATATTTATAAACAAAAAAACTCACAACTATCCGTAGTTTCAAACAATATCGGGTAAACGCCAACGGGCAAAACTTCAAACATCCTCTCAATGTAAGAACCGGTAGCTTTGAGCGTTGCTTGGCTGTTCTGCGTAATAGCTATAGTTTTCAATTCAACGTTGCTAATAGTTGAGAGGAAGCTCTGAAAAAATAAAAAAATTCTTTGTAAGGTTACTCAAGGGATGGGAATTAAAGTTCTCTAGAACTTTAAGGAAAAACAAAAAACCCTACTTTATCAATCAACGTCCACTTAGATGTTTGAACATCCACATTGTAAAAAGTTGGTTCAATTGCTGCAGCATATCCATCACAAAACAAAGTTAAGGCCCGTAAAGTATCTGATTTATTAATTTTGGGTTGTTGGGGATGTTTCTTCTTTTTATTTGTTGATTTTGCTTTCTTCTTGTTCATCCCTTTCTTGTTTGGAGCCTTCTAAAAATTAAAAAAAAATTTTTTTTGGTCAAATTAAATTTTTTCTAACGTTTAAATTCTTCTTCTTAGCCAACTTTTTCTTGTTGTTTTGCTTCTTGTGACAGCCTATAATCATAGAAGAGGCAAGAACCAGCAGAATTAGAACAACAATGAAATAATAGCCAATGAATCCAAGCTGAACAGCAAAACAATCCAAGTTGTTATTCTCGTTGTAGAAGAACATTGCTTGGAGAACGTGCCTGTTGTAGAAAGTGTTGTGTTGACGACGGCAAACTTGTTTTATTAAATAAAATAAACTTAATTAGGCTTTTATAGTAAAACTTTTTATTCAAGTACTTAAATTTAGAGAAATAACTCTGTTTATTTGGAGAGTAGAGAGACATACTTAAGATACTTAAGTTCTAGTTAATTAAAAGCAAGCTTATAGTTGCACTTGTTAATTTCTTAAGATTGTGTTTCAATGTTTTTTTATATTTTTATAACTATTTTTTAATAAACTTAAGTAGAAAAACACAAACTTCTAAAACACCTACACAGTTTAGCATAAAATACAAACTTTAAACAATTAAAAATCAAAAACACAAACAAACTTTAAAATAAACTTGAAAACAAAAACACAAACAAACTTTAAATAAACTTGAAATACAAAAACACAAACAAACTTTAAATAAAATGCAAAAATACAAACAAACTTTAAATAAACTTGAAAACAAAAACACAAACAAACTTTAAAATAAACTTGAAATACAAAAACACAAACAAACTTTAAACAATTAAAAATCAAAAACACAAACAAACTTTAAAATAAACTTGAAATACAAAAACACAAACAAACTTTAAATAAACTTGAAATACAAAAACACAAACAAACTTTAAATAAAATGCAAAAATACAAACAAACTTAAAAACACAAAACATTTTTTGTTTCCAAGTTTATTTTGTTTATTTTATGCTGTTTGTGCTTCAAGTTGGTTTTGAGTTTTAAAGTCTATTTTAATGTCTTCAAGTTTTTTTGTTTTTAAGTTCGTTTTAAGTTTAAGTTTATTACTTAAGTTTATTAATCACCTTTTGGAATATAGAACAAATTAATTTTTTATTTATTTTAAGTAAAAAATAATTTTTATATTTTTAAAAGAAAATAAAATTTATTTGAAATAGAAAAATATTATTTTAAATTTAGCATTTTTGATGTAAACAATTATTACATACATATTTTGTTTTTCTTTAAAATCTCTTTCTTCTTAAAATATTGCTGTTTATTTAAAAGAAACAGTTTACAGCCAGTCTGAAATATTTCGAAATAATAGTCAATCCAAGAAGAGAAATCAACATAACCCCCAAAGCTAGAGAGAAAATAAATAAAAATAAATAAAAAGGAATTTTTGTTCAATTTATCCAAAATCTAATTTTTCAACCGAAAAAAATATTTTTATTGTTGATTTATGCATAAAATTAATTTTTTTCTCTCCGTCCTTCTCGTTGACAAAATTATTGCTTTATTGCGACATTTATTATTTACATAAAAAATATTTTTCTTTTGAAGAAAAAAATGGAAAGATGACCTCCTTTTTGTATAATGTAACTGATTTTTTGTCCAAAAAATTTTTTTATAAAATTTTTTTAACATAAGTGGATAATTTTTTGAAAAATTAAAAAAATCTTCGTTTAAAATTTTTTAATTATATTTTTTTCACAAATTCTAAACAGACAAAAAATTGTTTTCTAATTTATATTTCTGTTTGAATTTGTCAAAAAATTTTTAATAAAGGACAAAATTAATTTATTATAAATTTTTAAATTTTAATTAGAGATCGGAATTATTCAGTCTATTCCGTCTAATTTTAAATACTAAAGGAATTAAATTACCGTATATCCTTTAATAACTATCCTGGGTAATTATTGTTTCGACCTCCCGCTGGGGGTAGTAATTAATCGAGGGAGGGTAATTATACGAGGTTTTAAATTTGAACGTGTTTTAGGGAATTTGTAGGGTGGTAAATCCTTCTAATTTAAATACTAAAGGGATTAAATTAATTTTAAACTTGATCTTTTTTAAACTCAAAAAAGAAAACAATTTTTAAAAATCGTTCTTTCGTTCTACTAATATCAAAAATACGTGTATTTTTCCCTTATTCCGATTTTTCAATTTTGTTATTTTTTAAATTCTTTTTGTTAGCAATCAAAAGTCAACACACTTTTTTATTATATCAAATTTATTTTTATTTAAAAAAATAAAATATAAAAATTGAGAATTATTATTGCAATTTGTAAAAGTGAAAGTTAAACAAAAAAATCAAATCACGGGGTTTAATTTTAATAAAAGCAAAAAAATAATTTTATCAGCGAGAGAGAATGGAGAGCATGTGAAGAAAAAATGAGAAATATATTTAAAAATTTTTTTTAAAATATTTTTGAATAAAAAAATATAACAATTAAAATATTCAAATTCGACCCGGGAGAGAAGAAAAACTACGCACCTTTGTTTATTTAATTTTTAACCTGACAACATTTTAAGAAAAAAAAATATGGTTTCAATTTTTGCTTATTTTTGTGAGCGGTAGGGAGGGAGAATATATTTATACAAAAATAACAAAGACTAGAAAAAAAATAAAAAATTCTAAAAAAAATATTTTTCGATTCTTCAACCCTTAATCGACGAAATCCAAAAAATATTTTGAACAGTAAATTTCCTTTTAGTGCTATTTGAAGTATATGGAGAAGACAATAATGGAACCATTCTTTTGTAGAAAATTATCCAAAGAAGAGTAGTTATTCCAATAATTAATAATTCCATTGTCCAAGCCATTCTTGGACCATACATTGTGTATAATGTGCTGAAAATTTAGAAATTAGAATTTTTATGGAAATAACGAAAATACAATTTTATTTGTATTTTCCGGAAAAGATTATAAATTCAGAATTAAAAATTTCCGGAAAAGTGTATTATTTTTGTGTTTTTCCGGAAAAATTAGTATCCCTCCGGAATTAACTTAAGAATCATGTGTTTTCTTCATAATTCCGGAAAACATTCAGAATTTTTATTTTTCCGGAAGGTTTTATTATTATTGATATTTGTATTTTCCGGAAACTGAAAATACATTTTCCGGAAGAAAAATTGTATTTTCCGGAAATTATTTTTCGAAATTAAAAATTTCCGGAAAGGTGTTTTATTCTTGTGTTTTCCGGATAATTTATCCTTCTGTTTACTAAAAGAAAGATTGTCCATCATTGATCGTGTTAATTTTTAAAATATTTTTTTATTAACCATTGCTGATTTAATTTTGTTATTTGGTTCCTTTTAAATTACCTCATCCCAATAGGTCCAATCATTCTAGCAATACTTCCAGATATTTGGAAAAATCCTTGTTGCGTTCCCTGTCGTCTAGGTCCAATTATATGAGAAAACAAAGTGTTCATGGCTATATTAAGTATTGGAAATGCAAATCCAATAAATACGACATAAGAAATAAAATATATCCAAACATTTACTTGCCCAATATTGTGACACCAACTATTTATTTCAAAGTATTTTTAATTATTAAATTTTGGATTAAAAAAATAATTTTTATGGTCAAATGTTTTCCTCATTTCTTAAAATTTAATAAATATTCCCTTTCAATTATTCAAAGTCATGGTTTCCGGAAAGTTATTATACATATATTAGTTGTGTATTTTTCCGGAAAAATTCATTGTATTTTTAGTCTTATTAAAACAACGAAAATACAAAATTTGTATTTTCCGGAAACGTTCTTGATTATTTTTCAAAAAATTGTATTCAGAATTCTTTCCGGAATTATTATTAAATTATTTTCCTTTCCGGAAGTGTTTTTACGGAATTATCTTTTCGGAACCAATACTTTTATATTTCCCGGAAAATGATTATTTTTCATAATTAAAATTTCCTGGATCATTTCCTAATTTACAATAATATTAAAAACCCACTCAAATTTATCTGTATTACACCCAACAGGTTCCAAGTCAGCAGGTAAATGTTCGACTTTATAAGCAAGTCTTTCTATAAAAAATAATTTTTTCAAAAAAATATTTAATTAATATTCACCTTTCTCTGTATAAACTTGTAGCGGATTGCTAAGGAAAGGCCACGGAAAAGTAACTATATGAAAAGCTCCAAGGCCTAATATAGACAAAATACAACTTAGACGGAAATTTAATCTTTAAATTAAAAATTTTTTTAAATTTCAAAATTCCAAGCTCACTCCATATTCGAAGATTTAAAATAAATATAAAAAATGTAAGTAGCAAAAGTTATAGAGCCAACCAATGCTTGGGCAATAGAAATAACTTCCACCGATTTTTGTTCAGTCATTCCAAACATTGTCATAGAAAAAGGACTTCCTATTGTTTCCAAATTTGTTTGGACAAACATTTGGGTAAACCGGCTTAGATAACAAACAAAACAAGCAATTAAATCGTAGGGGGGTAATTTTGAAGGCAATGAAGATGTTAGAGAATTTACTGATCCCTAAAATGTTTTTGTGTTTTTAATGTATTTTTGAATATAGTAAATTGGGAGGTGTAAAACTAAAATTGCAAAACATTAAAAGAATTGTAAAACTTTTTTTACAATTTGTAAAAATCTAAAATAAGAATTGTAAAACCTTGAATCAAAAAGAAAAGGTAAAACTTTTTTACAAACTTGAAGGAATTGTAAAACCTTTTTTACAATTTTTATTGATTGTAAAACTTAAAAGAATTGTAAAACTTATTTTCTAATTTTTTACAATTTTTACCACTTTTGTAAAAACTTGCCTTTGTTGTAGCTGTTTCTGATCTGTTGCTTTCCCCATTTTCAACCCGAACAATTTTATTATATTCTTCATGGTGTAGACCCGCATATACTTCTTTAAAAATAAATAGCAAAATAATTGTACCAAATAAATTCATTGTACAAGCCAAAAATGCAGGTCCAGTAAACAAATTAAATCGTAAATGTCCGAGGAGTGTAGTACCCGGATATGTAAATGAAGTGAATAAAAGTTGGAATGCTGCAAAGAATTGTAAAACTTTAAATTTATTTTATTAAAAACTTGTTTCTAAAACTTGAAAAATTAAAACTTGAATGTAAATAAAACTTGGCGTAGAAGCTTGACTTATAGGGATTGTAAACCTTTGATTTTACAACTTATAAAAATTGTGAAACATAACTAGTATAAACTTTAATTTATCAATAAAACATAGCTTTGTAAAACATACCGGGACCACTGGTTGCACCTAGTGCCTGTCCGCAAGTGACAAAAGCTATAGCTCGTAAACGATCTTTGCTAGTGGAGGCTGTTGAGGCATATGTTCTCAGTAAACAAACATTCCCTAAAATTGTTTTGTTTTAGAAAAATCATCAAAAAATACCAGAGCCCATCCCTGTCATAAACCTTCCAAATAAAAGAATATATAATTTGGGTATTGTTGTTAATTCCAAACTCAAATAACAAAGATTTCCCATAAACATAAGTGCTAGTCCAACAAAAAGGGGAAGACGGACTTGTTGTATTTTGTTACTCCAATAGCCGAATAATGGGGCAGAAATTATTTGTCCAACACTGTATATGGCTATAATCCATCCAAACATTGTTTCGTTTATTGAGCGGTCAATCTATCAAAGTTGGGGAATTTTGAGGTAAAATTGGGGAGAAATAAAAATTTTTTACAATTTGTACGTATGGCCACATTGAAGAGAAATAAAGTGAGAATTGGACTGTTCCAATGAAGGAAAGCATACTTGCAGTGTAAATACTGTTCCAATTTGTTTCAGGCATCATTGTAGTAGTTGTCCTTATAGAATCTGGTCGGTCGTTTGTGCCTGCCTCACTCTGTTTTTCATTAAGTGGGTCTTTCATTGAATTGGGCATTTTTATCTACTGAAACTTTAATAGGGTAATTTATGTTTGCAGAAAAAATGTTTGTGGGGTAAAAACAAGAATTAATGTTTTTACAAATAAGATTAAATTATGATTATAAACAAGAAACATCCATTATTTTACAAACTTTAATTAATGTGAATTATTAGACTTAAATTATAAAAACTTGAAAACTTCAAGTTTGTAAAAACTTGTTTTAAAACTTTATTTAAAACTTATTTTAGAACCTATTTGTAAAACAAAACTGTACTGGTTGTAAAACTTAAAATAAGACTTAATTAAAATGTAGGCGTGAACAAATAATTGTTAAAATTGTTTGCCCGACAGTTTAAGCTGATTAATTTTTAATTTTAATTAAATAAATTAATCAAACATTTAAATATATTTATTAGAATTTTTAAAGACCCTTTTTCCTAACAGAAAAAAGATTTTAAAGAAGAAAATAGAAATGTTTGCGCTTCTCAAGTTCGTTTTCGGTCAAAAAGAGGATAATGATTATAAAACAAAGTTTAGTATTTCTTTCGTTTTTTAAATTAGAACAAATAAAAAAAGAAAAAAATACAAAAAATAATGAATTGAAAGGCCAAAAATGAAGAAAAAAAATTTTTCTTAAATTGTACCGAAAAAATATTGGTGGAACTAAAGTTAATTGGCTTTAAGTTTTTTATTTTATAATTTTTTTATTTGTATTATTTATTTTATTTTTTATGTTAAAAAGTGTACTTTTTAAAATAATAAAAATATTTTTAAAAAATTATACAAACAAAAATATTTTTTCCGTACTTGAATTTGTTTAGACTAGAATGTTTTTAACTGAAAGACGCAAGTTAAAAAATAAATATGTTTGTCAAGTTTTAATTTAAATGTCAAGTTTTACAATCTAGTAATTCTTAAAACATGTTTTACAAATTCAAGTTTTTACAAATTCAAGTTGTATTAAGCAAGTTTTACAATAAGTCTGTACAAATTAAGTTTTACAAACAAGTTTTAGATTACAATTAAGTTTTACAAATTCAAATTCTACAAATTAAAGTTTACAATTATGTCCTAATTTTTAAATTAGGTTTTATTTGTTGGGGAAAACATGTTGAAATAAAAACATGTTCCGTAAAGGAACGGAAGTAAATTTTAGAAGGAAAGGTTTTGAAAAGACTGAAGATCGCCTATGGGATTTAAGGCAATTTATTTTGCCTAGCAAAATTTTAAGTTTAATATTTTTAAGTTTATACTCTTTAACTCTTTGATCCTACACAAATTTTAAAATAGAAGAAAAATTCTAAAAAAATATTTATTTTATTAAAATAAATTAAAATCAAGAGAATATCTCAATAAAATTAAATTTCCTTCTCTAATTATAAAAATAAAAATAGAAACATAATCCTTTCCTCATTCGTCCATTTATTAAAAGAAATATGGATTAAATTAAAAATAAAAATAATTAATAGAAAAATGGATAAATAATTTAAAAAAAATTAATAAAAAAATAATCTGTCAAAAAATAATTGTGGTACAAAATGGGAAGATTGTTTTAGAAATAAAAAAATGAGGGAGGGCTATAAAATAATAATTGCCATAAAAACTTGTTTAAATAAATATAACTGTGAGGGATTAAAAATATAAAATATGATTTTGTGAGGTCATTTTATGAGCCAAAAATAAAAGAATATTTTTTATGACGCATTTATTTACATATTTTAGTTAGTTGGTTGGAATTTTTAAAGTTAAGTTATGAGTCATTGTGTAAAACATTCTCTCTCTCTTCATATTTTAGTATGTTTTTGCAAATATTTGCATAATTTATAAAAATCAAAATACAAACTTATTTGGTTCAAAAAACATTTACAATTGTAAAAAGTTGTGAATAGACTTAATCCTATTAAATAAACTTTTGTTTTACAGCATTTTTATTAAAACAAACTTTGTGTTAAAAACATGTTTGCAAAAATGTTTTGCAACTTAATAAACATTGTTTTTAACATGTTAAAAATACTAAACTAAATAAACTTGAAAAAGTAAAAGGTAAACAGGTTTAAATAAGTTTGTAAAAAATTTTGTAAAATAAGTTTTAAAATAACTTTGTTTGTTACAAACAAGTTTGTAAAAATAAGTTTGTTAAATTTGCAAAAAACAAGTTTGCTTAGAAATGTTTTGTAAAAACAAGTTGGTAAACATATAAAACATTTTATAAAATTACAACAAATGTTTGTAAAAAGGTAATTGTAATTTTGCCACAAACTTTAATTGAGTTTTTAAAAATAAATAAAATAAATTAATAAAATGCTAAACTTAACCAAATTGGTTAATTTAAATTAAAGTTTATAAGTTTTTTTAATTGATTTAAAATTAATTTTGTGTGGATAAAAAAAGAGAGTTAGTGAGTTAAATGTTTACTCAGAATATATTTTAAAATTTATTGGAAATTTGTTAGTTAATATTAAATTTATTTAACTTATTCATAAATAAAATAAGAAATGAACTGAATTTTTTGTCTTTTTCCAACAAAAATTTAAAAAAAATAATAGAAATTGAAAGAAATATGTAGCAAATAAATATATGTATATGTTAAATGTTTGCTTGATTTTATAATTCGAGGGAGAATTTGAAAGAAAAAGCATTTTATGATCTAAACGTAAATTTATGATCTATGTAAATCGTAATTTAGAAAGTTTGTCGATTAAAGTTTTTGGCCTATTTGTTATTACGTTTATAAGAAAATATTATGTTTTAGTCGAGTAGGCAAAAACATGAGGAAGTTTTAAAATTGTTTTGATGTTTGAGATTTTATATTTAAAAATGGGGTAACAAACAAATTGTAAAACAAGTTTAATAAAAATTTACAAAGTTTGAGAAAACAAGTTGTTTTTAAAAACATACTATAAAAGCATGTTCGAATCCAAGTTTATTTTATTTTCTTCCGCCTAACAACTTCAAGATTGATTACAACACTCTTCTCCAACAAAAATGAGACAAAGCCGTAAAGGAGCCGCCAGTCAGCAGCCATCGGTCGACTCTGGTCCTCGTCCGCGCCTTCATCGAAAACAGTCCATCCGAAGGACTAAATACAAAAAGTGAGCTTTTCCAATTAATTTTTTAAAGAAATGTTTCTCAATTTTTAGAACTCCTAAAGCTCGTATTAACGACATTCCAAACGTTGCTCAGCCCGACGAAATGTTCGATGGAGGTGTTTGTAAATCCAAAAGTGAGCTCCACAAGGAAATGTTTGTTTCCTTTTCTTAGACTTGGACAAAATTTTTTTTTAATTTCAGCGATCCTTATATTGACTCCGAAACAGGAATGTTGCCTAAATGCACGGATCAATTGTCGGATTCTTCCATTTCCTCGTCTCAAGTATCGTCCGCATCAACAATTAGAGCAGCATCTCCATCCAAACGCAAGCCAAAAGCAACAACAACAACAAACCGCCAACCTAAAAAAGCAAAACAAAAGAGACAACCTACAATGCTCGTTTCTTCCGCTGCGACTGTTGCAATCCTTCCAGCACCTTCTCCGCCTGTGGGTGAACGAGAAGAACTCTTTGAAGGAGTAGAGCAACAAAAACATCATCATCATCGTTCTGCATCGCCAATATTGGACAACAAATTCAACAAAATTAGGCGTCAACTGCGAGTGGCCCTTCTAAAAAGAAATGAAGGGCAGAAGAAGGCTTCTGGCGAATCTGTGGACAGTAGCGATGCGGATGATGAAGAGGAAGACGACGATGAAGAAGAGGAGGAGGAGGAAGGAAAGAGCTACGCGTATTCGTCAATCTCAAGGTGTGGTTTTTTACAAATATTAAAAAACAAGTTTTACAAATTGTAAAAACAAGTTTTACAAATTGTAAAACGTTGGGAATTGTAAAAACAAGTTTTACAAATTGTAAAAAGTTGTAAAAAGTTGGGAATTGTAAAAACAAGTTTTACAAATTGTAAAAAGTTTGTAAACGTGAAAACAAACTTAACTCTGCAAACAAGTTTTAAACTTATAAACATGTTGCTTTTTACAATTGTAAGATGTTGTGAAATAAACTTGAAATACAAAAAAGTTTTGTAAAACAAGTTTCAACTTGTTTTACAATTTAACGGGGGAAAGGGCAAAACATCCTTAAAAACAAAGTTTTATTATTTTCAGTATGTCAACAGAAGCAGCTGGTAATGAGGAGGGCTTTGATTGTTGTGTTCAACTTTGGAATATTCTCGTCAAAATTGTTAGGCTGATGTTTGAGGCTGGCAACTATGTTTTGGACCATAAAGTAAACTCAATTTTTTAGATTAAAAATAATTTTTATTTTTTCAAGTTGTTGTTCTATCCTTTGGCTATCATATTCGCCTATTTGTGCCTTGGAGTTCTTCATTCAATATTTGCCTCTATTTTGGCAAGCGTTGCTGGTTGGATTTGGCCTCCACTTCATTTCATTCTGAGCACTACTGGCGGTTTTGTTTGGCGACTTGCCGATTGGTTGTTTTGGGTGGATGAACTTGGACGGTCAGAAATAAAAATTTTTTTGTGAAAAATTAAAAAAATTTTATTTTTAGTAGTTTAATATGTGATATGGCTGCAAGCTATTGTCGTCGTTATCGTCTTCTCTGTGACCGCCAATGTTCGTTTGTTGACCGCGCTGTTGAACATTCGCATGGCCATAGAGCGTTCTAAATATGAGTGGATGTTTGAGAAGAGAAATATAAATAAAAAATAAATAAAAGATATAATTGTAAATGTTTTGTTAAAAATTGTAATTTCTATATGTAGGTTTGTATTTGTTTGTAAACAAGTTGTAAACACATAAATTACCTATATTAATCAAACTTTGTTCAAAACATTAAGTTTGTAAAGTTGTTGAAACAAGTTCAAAACAAGTTTAATAAATATGTTTGTAAAATGTTTGAATACACACACATTTAAAATTGTAAACAGGCTTAATTGTAAAACATATTGTAAAAACATTAATTTATAATTAAACTTTGTTCAACACATTAAAGTTGCAAAACATTAGT